TTCAAACTAAATAATCTAGGTTGCCATTCCGTTGATGTGTTTATATTGGTGGCCTTAATAGCTTCTGCTGGGATACCATCTGGACCTGCCACCTTTTCTTCTTTCAGAAAATTGAAAACTCTTCTGATTTCCAATTTAGATGGTATCTTACAATTGATATCCAGTTCCATTTCTAGAGGCTGGGTATCTGGGGGAACCTCTGGGGTTGATCTATTTGTTTAGAAGTATTCCAAAATATTCAGCCCATCTGTCCATTTGATCTTTAGTGTTGGTGAGTACCGCTCCTTGACTATTTTTGACTGATCCAGTTGGCTGACTATATGTACCTACTATATAACTACAAGGCCCCTGTGTGGGTTCCGGGGCCCCATTGTGGGGAAAACAAGAATAGACCCACTGCCTCCCCAAAAGCATGTTGTAAGAGTCAACTAATTGGGGAGCTTCCTTTGAAGACGGAGTGCGTCTGCCGGAGAGGCAAGGAACCAACAGTCTGTATTCAAGAGAATGAGATCTGTAAAACTGATGCACACGCAACACTCAGGTTCTGGAGCAGGACTGCAGTTCAGTAGTAGACGAGCAACCAGAACCTTCCGCCAGAGTTTACAGCTGGTGAACGCGAAGAAGAAAGAAGAAGATAACTACAAGGCAGATGTGGTCAAGGCCCTTTGAGAACAAGCAACGGAATCTGTAGAGAAAGAAGATTATTTTGGCCTGGAGAAAATGAGGCACCTGGGTGTAACCAGAGGGTCTGGCTGGCTCATTACACTCAAAGGAAAGGCAAGATGGATATTTAATCAGTACTGGAACTCTGCGTTGGCTGCTGAAGATGAGGACGGAGCATGCATGGGAATACCCCGAGTGCTGTGATGTCAATTCTTGACTCAGTTCAACTCAACTCATTTTCCTTGATACTTCCGTTGTTCTTCCTTCATCGTACAAAGTTCTAACATTGCAGGTGCTAATTCTGGAGGGTTTCCTATGTGAAAGGAGGTACGTCAAAGGTCTGGACTTCTTTCGGTTTTTACTCAAAGAGCCTCCCCTCATCTTGGTGGGCTAGGTTTTTCTTCTTTTTTTGACTTTTCCATGGTTGATTGGTTTTTGTGGCTATTGTTTTTTAAAGCAGGTAGCCAACCCTTAGTGGCCTTTTACAACAAGCCTGGTAGGGTGCAATGTTACTATTCTTTGTTTCCAGTGAGGGCCGCGGTGACACACAGATGGGCGGCTGTGTTGCAAAAGTTATATAGCAGCCATGCCCTACATATATACTGATTTTCTCCATAATAACTACTCACATATCATCAAGACAAAACAGTGTCAGCCAATATATTGATATTTAGACACCAAATTACCTGTTGCTAATAATTGCTTATTTTGTTATCTGACAATAATTAAGTAGATATTTGTCTCGAGTTATTTGTTAACAGAGCATGGGATATTTATGTGCCTTTCTCTTTTAATTTCCTCTTCCCACCCTCCCCTGTGTGGATTCTGGGGTCCCATTATGGGGAAACAAGAACAGACCCACTGCCTCTCTAACATGTAAGAGTTGACTTTAAGTCGGAGTGCATCTGCCTGAGAGGATAAAAACTTACAGTCTGCATACAAATAAGCCAGAAAGCTGTCCCCTGCAGTTTACAGCCGGTGAATTCAGAGAAGAAGATTTGTCACGCTGTTACGTTGGGTGTGTCAACAGAAAAAGGTTGGAGACTACTGCTCTGTCTATTTGATCCCAAACAGCCATTAGCACGTCTGCTTTATCATAAAGTAGCTCACCATCCAGAGGAGTGGCTGCAACTAATCTCGCCTTGCACCCCTAATTGTCTTGGACAGAAAATCCATGACATGCTCCTGAACTGGGTCTTATGAAGTGATGCAAGCCACTCTGTGTGCAGGACGCTAGGTTACATTTTCTGAAGCATGCTCTGTGAGTCCGTTACAATTTCAACATGTCGAGTTGTGCTTCTCTCCAACCAACAGAAAGCTGCCATTACTGCCTCTACCTCAATTCTCATACTCGATGTAATGACGTTGTACACGAGGCTCTCTGTTTTCAGTGTCCATTCACCTTTGCAATAATACCTCAAACACTCTTCTTACCTCTCATCACAGCCTGTTTATATAATTATACCATCTGGGAGTGAATTTCATTGATCAGCTCTTGCACGGCTGACTCTGTTTCATCAGCTATCCCTTCCCGGTGTCCTCGGTCTAAAGTAACTAACACTCTAGGCAAGGCTGTTTTGTTGGACGGCACTAATCCATTCCTCACTCTGCGCTATTTTGTCAGTAGTACAAACATTTCTTATAGTGACTTCTGCTTGTGTCATCCAAAAGCCACCTCTTTTCAGCAGATGTCCCTTGCTATCCCCCAAGGCCTCAGGTGGTGTTCCCTGTCCGTTGTGACTTTCAGGTACATTTTTGCTTATAAAACCTTGTTATCTTTCATATACAGATGACAGTGCAAGTATGTGCTGCATGTACACAACTGGCATGTCTCGTTTCATCCCAAAATGACTCCCATGGTTTCATTTGAAATGTGTTCCAGCTTCTCTGTTTGGGTATGAGATAATGTTAGCAGTCCCAAAACCATACTCATTCAACGAAATAATCAGTTGCTTGTAGAGTGTATAGAGCATTTTCCCTTCCATATCCACTGATGACATTGCCTTTAAAAAAACTGAGTCCTTTCCATATCTTAAAAAGTACTTCTTCTTCATGGTACTTGACAGAAAAGCTCCTGTCAAGAGTGATTCCACTATATGCTGGTAACAGAGACACAATCTTGTTTCAATTTGTTTTTCAATGCAATTCTGATTTAACATAAGCATAATTTGCAGTTTTCATTGCTTTAAGTCCTAAAATACTCTGAAGCTGTCTGCCCTTTAATTTTCTTCAGTGTCATAATGTGAGGGTATCCAGTGCAAGAGTATAGTCATCACTATTTTGATGAAATTTGAAATATAGCAAAATCTTTAAATTCTTTTATTGTCCAAAAAAGAAAAAAGTTAAGAAAATGACAGGAGACAAACATAATTTAAAAATAGGCCCTAACCAGTATCTAATAATGCCATTATACAAAATGGATGTTAAGGAACAAAAGTTGCTGAGACAATGGAGGATCTTTGCACTGGCTCACCTAATGAACTAGCAGCTACTGTAACCCCAATGTCATTAAAAATGAGGTAAAAGGGGGGGGGGGGGGGGGGGGGGGGGGGGGGGGGGGGGGGGGGGGGGGGGGGGGGGGGGGGTGCAAAAACGTGTGTTAATGAACCAAAGTATTTCTGATTAACATGAAAATAAATTCTGATATTGGAAACTATTACTGCCAATATGTTAACATTTTCCTGGAAAATATCCAGAAAATTAGAAATTCTGCACACTTGTTCACAAAATATGCATTCATAACTGACAGGCTAAAAGTAAAGTCGGGAGATGTGAACCAGCGTCATTGCACACGGTTATAAACTATAAGTGCTCTGCCACCAGTACGGACAACTGATAAGAAACTGTTCGCTTGTGTCGCTGTCCGCACGCAACCCCGTAGCTACAGTGACGTTCCTCCATTTACCCTAGAGTATTAACCCATTACCTAGAGGCTGGGTGAACCTCGGGAACCGCCTGGTTTTGAACACCGGACATGGGCTGCAGGCTATTGCTGGATAATCAGAGTCTATGAAAGGACCCTTTTCATGCCAAAAGACAACTGATGCTAGACTCATATTTGTATAGACTAATCAGCACTCAAAGGGTTATGTGGTCAACATTATGTGGCTGCTTGTACTTGCCAGGACTTCACGTGGATTAAAACCCAGGACTTTTGGATTATGGGGAAACCTCTAACCCCACATCACAACGGCTTCCAAGTAAACTCAAGAGACAGAAATACAAATATTTTATTTTATTTTTAAAAATGCAAGTCAAGAGAACTCTGGGTCTATTACTCATGAAGGTCATAAAATCTGTTTCTTGTCCTACTGCTTATGCTGTAAAGCATCACAGAGAGGAGTTATATGGATTTTGCAAGTTACGTAGCTTATGTTAACGTCTTTTTTGCGTTTCTGTAGTGTCTCTTCGACTTCCTCCACTAATCTCTTTCTTGGTTGACCTCTTATCTTCTAGCCTGCTGTTCTCGTGTAGTATGCTCCAACTGTTAGCTTTGTTTAATTCTGATCAGATGATCAAATTTTTTTGATTCGTTGAGGTTCTATGAAATCACTCACCAAAGGTACTTTAACACATGCCTGAAGCAAGTTAAAAGAAATAACTCTACAAAAAGAGGATGGAAGAGTAAACAAGGATATAGAAAAAAAACCGTGCCAAATGCAAGCATACTTATATACTAAATGGCACCATTATTTAGGTATCCAAATTTAATTATGCAATTAGAATACAAATGCCAAACATAGACACTATCAAAAACACATATCTGTAACATCAATTCTTGTGAACTGAGAGATCATAGGAAAGCCAACAGTTTAACCATCTGTGACTGAGGGAGAAACAGGGAGAAACACTATTATCAGACTGACTGAGGCAACAATACCCTGTGCTTAATATGCATTGAGAAACAAATGATCAAACGGTTTGGACATCCTGTCCACATGAAACAAGACCAGCAGTTACAAGTAAAGGTGATACATCTAAGAAAATCTAATATGAAGGTAAGAGGGAAACCCAAGAAGAAGATAGAAGTGTAACAGTAAAGACAATGTAAAGCTAGTAATCAAGTGCTGGACCACTATCCACTCCTCTCTTTGACATCTGATCACAAAAATTAGTAATAATGAGGAGGATGTTTAATATGGATAGTTTAGTTTTTATTTTACTACTCTTCAAGTCTCTGACATCTTATTCCATAGAAAAACAAATGACTGGAATATTTTTACAGTATAATTTCTGCAATTTAATAATTTCACCATAAAATTTCAAAGATTCTACATGTTCAGAGCTCTAAAGAACTACCAACATTGAAAAAAGATAGATTTCTGGTCAGAAACTCCTCAACATCCTGGCATGGTTCTGATGAGGAACAGATACAAAATAAGTGTGACTAACATTCTCGATTAACAATGAATAAATATACACATTCTGAACATAATTTGTAATATTAAATATCATCATCACGTAGTAGGTCCTTTACAGAACATTGCTCTCATCAGGGTCTGCCATGATGCTATCCTGTGCCCATCTTCATGCTGGTCAGCCCCTGCCCCTTCTTCCTGGCACCATGCTGTCTGCTTTTTTTTTTTAAAAACCACCGTGGCACTTGATATAGTCAAAATATTTCAGTATGTCAGCATTTCTTTTCTCCCTTGTCCATGGTATTCTGAGAATCTTTCTATAGCATTTTAGCTCAAAAGCCCTGATTTCCTTCCTTAAGGACTGGGAAATAGTCTATGATGCACACATACTGTTACAGGGAAGATGCATGCTCTAAAAATTTCAACTTTGACTTCCTTGCTGGTGCATAACTATAGACTTTATATGCTGTTTAATATTGCTATGACCAACCTCTTTCTGACTTCTGTTCTTCTGCTGAACAGTCTTCACTGCGGTTTATTATGCAGCCTAGATATTCAAAGTCTGTGATATACTGACATATTTTTTCATATTAAATATATTTTTATTTTTTGTACATGTTCAGGTAGACTAAATAAAGAGATTCACAAAAACAGAATTTATAAATATCACAAAGAACATTTTCAATACCTACACTGAACCAATATATAAACTTTTAACATAATCATGTGCCATGCAGAAGATTCTAATTTCAATGTTTGTATTTTTGAGTTCAGATGTTAAGGTCCATGTTTCACAGCCATATGTACAAGTACTGACAGCAACTGCTCTAAGCAATCTCATTTTTTATTGTACATGAGATCAGTCAACATGATGGGTGTTCATCACAGGTCAGTATTTGAAACCCCTTCAGGCTTTCTACATCAAAAATAAAATTCCAATTCATTTATATTGGAACCTTTTCTCTAATTTCTTTTTTGCTTTATAAATGAACTAAAACTGTTAGAATTTTCAGCCTTTCGTGTCCGGAATGCTATCTTTTAATTGTACTGATACATTGTAAATGTGACGTGGTCTATAATATGCTGACCACCTTTAATTCCTCAGACATTTCCTCGTATGAACTACCTGGACTGAGCCATCAACCCAGGTCATTAAATGAAAACCCCAACTTCAAAGATAACTCAAACATATGGCTATCTTGCTGGAAGGCAAGCCCTCTAGTTACTGCATTACTATTTAATGGATCAACATCACGGCACACGGGTGTAACCCATAAGTGCTCCGCTCTACTTCTAACTCAAGGCTGAGTTTGAAGCAGCTCAGTGCAGTGCATGAACTCTACTGTACCATCAAGTATTCTGAAATACTTTGGGTAGATTTTAACACCAAATTTAGCCCACGTAGCGCCGCTAGGCTACTCTTTTTTATTTCCAACAGCCAAGGGATTTTTTTAACGTGCGCAACACTATACACGGGCATCCAATCACACTACCCAGTGACCAGGGAAAATTACTGAAAGTCCACATGAAAACAGTTCCAGCCTTCACCAGAGCCTGAACTTGGGACTCCAACATTCGAGGCTGATGCCCTGGCTTGAGACCACACAGTCCCTTGACTGCATTACTGTGGCTTCTGACTGCATATGTCCTCTAAGAATGACAAACTTACCTTTCAAAATTCCCTATGGGTTCTGCAACTTTATGTCTAAGCATAAAACTGGCCAAAACATCAGCAACCTGTTGACAAATATATGATACATCACCATCTAGAACAGTTTTACATTATTTCATGAAGTAAAAATATCTGTCAGTGAATATCAAGAGAAGCTGATAGCATTTCCACACAAGGCGCTGGAACTATCAACATCAGTATATTGCAACTGTAGTCACTCATTATTCACGTTATTATGTAAAGCAATATTATGTATAACTATCATCACAATGAAACTTATGTAGTAGTTATGCAATGGATACCATCCCAAAGTGGAGTTCCTGGAAATAAAAGACCTGATAGACCAGCTAAGGAAGGCACAACCGAAGAACAACCTGATGTACCAGTGTCTTAGCAACAGAATAAGAGAATAATCAAATCTATAATAATACAAATGTTAATTTTCCTAGTTTGTTAACTAAAAACTTGGAAACTACTGAACCGATTGCTTTCAAATTTTCACACAATGTTGTTTTGACTCAAAGCGTGACTTTTTGTCAGAAAATTGCACAAACCACAAATGACGTAGCTCCAGCAACGGTCAAATCATTATTTGCTTTATTGCCGGCCCGGATTTGTTTTTAGTTGATTGGCCATTTTTGACTGCTGAGCTCTTATTGAACTTTGCATTACTATATAATTTCATTTTCACTTTTTGCTTGAGTGTTTGGTAGCGTAGTTATAACTATTCCACCTATCATGCGAGTGACCCGCATTCGATTCCCCGCTAGGTGATATAACTTTTTTTTAGCCCTTAACTGGGCGGCTGGCACGCTGTGTTGTGGTTTATGGCTAGGCTGCAATATCTACGCCTTTTTTTGGTTTTGGAGTTTACAGCTAGCCTGTGACAGTGGCGACGTGATGCTCAATGGTCATGTCCCGGGTAATGTTCGTTCACTCTCGAGAGGGCGGTTGGCACGTTGTGTTGTGGTTTACAGCTAGGCTGGGATATCTGACCTAAACTCTTCAGTCTTCGGTAGTACAGTTGTAAGTATTCCATCCTTCATGCGGGTGACCGGTGTTCAATTTCCAGCTGGGTGATAATTGTTCTTTTTCCCTTAAAAGGGTGGTTGCCACGTCACGTTGTGTTGTGGGTTACAGCTAGGTTGCAATATCTGCGCCTTTCGCCTAAAGACATCCAATTTCAGTTAAGTCCCAATTAGACTCCCCGTGACACTTCTAGATCAAAAACTATTAGGCGATGACAGAAACTGTTAACTAAGATGGCTTACAGTCCAGTTTAGTTTGGGTGGACACGGATGCCAAGGTCACTTAATAATCGTCCTTCGGAGAGGAAGAGATGACGGGTGTGGGGTATTTTTCTCCTCTATTCGTGAGTATTGTGTATTTTTTACTGTGGGTTCCATCACTGGTTACGTGATGAAGTTTTTTGTCTTCCTATGTCGGGGGCAACATTAAACTAAATAGTCTGTGGCAGCACTAACTCCTCTTTTCTACATCGACCTAAACAGACTTTAGTGACAGTTTTTGTTGTTGTGATGGTGGTGGTGGTGGTGGTAGTGGTTGCAGTAGTACTGGTACTGGATGGGTGATGTGGTAGCTGTTACACTGGCCACATTTACTTCTCAATACAAGTTAATGCTACCTATTTAAGTCTGGGTGGACACGGATGCCAAGCTCAACTTAGTTATAATATTTCATCACATGGTGACTTTCCCATCCTTCGGAGAGGATGACATTATTGGGGGAGCAGGGGAGGAGGTGGGGTTATGCCAGACACAGCTGAGAGAATTTAAAATATTGTTTTGAAGTTCTCATTTCTTAACCTTTTCTATTTTCCTAATTTCGCTAGGTGATGATTTTTCAATCCTTCGGAGAGGGAGATATGATTTTTGGAAGAAAAAAAAAGGGGGTGTGGAGGGTTATGCCAGACACAGTTAGCTGCGAGAGCTTAAAATATTATTTTAAAGTTCTAATTTCTTAAATATTTCTATTTTAATAATTTCGCCATGGATGTTTTTTCAATCTTTCGGAGAGGGAGTTATGACTGTTTTGAGGGGAGAGGAAGGGTAGGGAGGGGGGGGGGGGGGATATGACAGACACCGTTAGCTGAGAGCTATTTTCTTTCCTCTTCATTTCATCATTCTGGGCCACAGCAACGTGTGGCCGGGTACAGCTAGTCAATCAAAAAGCCAACAAAACTAGGACTAGACAATTACCATATAATGGACAGACCAGGGCAAGTCATTATTCTACGCCTTAGAACAGGGCACAATCGAAATAAGAAGAAGAAGAAGCACTGTATAGTGATAAGGGAAACCTGAGACACACTGCCACTTAATAAGTGACATGAAAAAGATAATTTTTTTTTTTTGAACGAAAAAGAAGATAAAGAAGTGTTCATTATAAAGCGTGGGATATACACATATTTTATGTGGGCAAAGTACTTCTAGCTGTGTGTCTTTTGTTTGGCAAACAGCTGGAATTTTCCCAGTTTCCATCGGGGAAAAGACCAGTCAGTTCTAATCAGAAACAGAGGGTCCAAGTGCATTTTTAGATAGAATTATATTTGGTGGGTGCTCTTTAATAATTCTTTACCAGGAGGAGTGTCGGGAGGGGTCATCTGCCCTGTCTAACAATTCAATAATTAAGTTATCTAGACATATAAAACCCCTTTCCTTCTCCTGTGGGTACCAAGTGCAGCTGTTGTGAATTTAAAGGATAAGCCAAATTTTGCTGTATTCTTGGATATCCAGGACTTTGAGACAGCATAGCTCAGATATTAGTCCAGTTTCTCCAGTGGAGGTGAAGTGTTGAGAGTAAAACTCCTACTTATCCCAAAAGCATCTATTCACTCGGGGACTTGCGACAGAAGGAAAAAGAGTCATTACAAGAGGCTGGCTCACAGTTTAGGTTATATGCCAATAAAAATGCAAAGTTCTAGTAATGCAGAGTTTTCTGGTACAAAATGCCCTAGAGAGCCTTGCTGAAGAAATACAATAAGCACATAGCAAGGAGAAGATTACACACACACACAAAATGATGAAATCAAGACCTTACAGAAATGAAGACTAATGTCACACTACATTCAATATTTTTCTAAGGTAACAAGAGGGAAAGCAGCAGTATTATCTAGCTGCCTTTTCTTTCATGATCTGAGCTCAAGCCTCCATATCTATCATCACATTTCTTGGGATATTTCTTCATATTTAATAATAAATTGTTTACCTCAGAAGACAACATGTAGATTTCAATATTTGCCTAAAAGTAACTAAGATAAAAGTATGGCTTATCTGTATCACCTTGTCAGGAACATCCTCATGTACTGCATGTCCACACTGAGGCAACAAGTTCATTTGGAATTTTCCTGAAATATGGTTTCATTATTGCTTATAGTGATGCCAAAAAACAACATTACAACAAATTCTATATGTAAATAACACTATTCATAAGCATCACATCAAAGGTCCCAGGTAGTTAGCATCCTCTGAATATTTTCTCCAGGTCATTATGGTGTTTTTGGAAATAAGCAGGCAGATATACTGGCAGGTTCTGCACCACTCAGTGGTGAACTGATGTATGGCAGGCTGGATGTTGTGAGGGCTCTTTGGGAGTGAGTGAACAGTGCTGAGGCAAGGACAGATCATTACGGTCTGAGGAGAATGGCACTGTAAGAAGTTACAAGGGGATCTGGCCGACGCTCGACACTCAGGGAAAAGGCGAGACTAATATACAATCAGAAAGTTGCTGGTACCATCAGAATTGTAACTCTTCGCTTGCTGCTGAAGATGGGGACAGAGCTCTTTTGGGGGTGTCCTGAGTACTGTGATGTCGATTCTTAATTCAATATTCTAAGAAATTGAGTTTGTGGGTTACTGTAGTATATCAGATAGGGTTATTATGGTTAAACTCAAAGGAAATAGAAAAATGTTACGAAGATTTAGATTTGACAATAGCCCAAACAAAATCACAAGAAGTTAAAACAATATTGGGAGATTTTAATGCAAAAGTTGGGAAAGAGAGAATGGAAGATATAGTTGGGGAATATGGTTTAGGATCAAGAAATGAAAGAGGTTAAACACTGGTAGAGTGGGCGAAAATAAATAATATGATCGGAAACACCTGGTTTAAACAACATAAGAGACGATTATACACATGGAAAAGTCCAGATAAGAAAACATTCAATCAAATAGATTATATACTAATTAACAAAAGGTTTAGAAATACATGAACAAATGTGAAGACAAGACCTAGTGCTGACTGTAACAGTGACCATGTCCGATTATGTGGAAAATTAAATGTACGAATGAAGAGGGGAAAGATGGAGATGAAAAACTATAAACTAAAAAAAAATATTCTAAGAGAGGATGAAGACATTCAGGAGCAATACAGAATGATTCTAAGCAACAGGTACAATGCAATACCAAAAATACAAACTATAAATGATCAGTGGGAGTCACCGCGGCAGAGCGGCTAGACGCTCTCCGCGGATTAGAAGGTCGTGGGTTTGCTCCCTGGCGGAGCCGGACTTTTTTTCAAAAATGACCTTGGCTCCCAGGTCGACCCAGCCTTGAGTGGGTACCGGGTGCAGTCCTGGGAAAGTAAAGGCAGCTGGCGTGATGCTGACCACATCACCCATCCTGTGCCGACTGGTCTATAAAAATATAGGTCTAGCCCTATATGCCCTATACGCCTAAAGGCGTGGAAAGGGTCCTTTACTTTACTTTTTTATAAATGATCAGTGGGAAATGCTGAAAGACTCCATCCATCAGACAAGCAAAGAGATTTACCAGAAAGAAGACAAATAGCCAAACAGAATGGAGGACTGAAAAATTTTTAAAGTTAATGGGTGACAGAAAACAGTGTATAATGACAAAGATGAAAATGAAAAGATAAATAAAGAAATAAGGCATAAGTATGTTAAGGCAAAAGAAGATTGGCTAAATGAACAATGCAATAAAATTTAAAAGTCCTGTTAAAGATGCAAAAAGTGTACATAAACAAATTAACGATCTAACTGGAAGAAAGATAAGAATAAACACAGAATGTCTGAAATCAAAAGCAGGAGAGATCTTAATGAAGGAAGATTATATAATAATTAGATGTAATGTATACATAAGAGAGTTATATGATGGAAAGAGAGCAGAATTATCAGAAGAAAGAAATTTAGAAGGGCCCCTTGTCTTAAGGAAGAAGTCAGCAATGCTATTAAACATATGAAGAAATAAAAGTCAGCCAGGCCGCATGGAAATTCGGTAGAAGAATTAGAAGTACTGGGGGAATTTGGATTTAGATATATTAACTAAACTGATGAATGAATGATATTTATAACACTGGGTATATTCTAAGTGATATGATGACATCTGTATTTATTGTGTTACCCAAAAGACCAGGAGCAGTTGAGTGTGAAGAATTTTGTACAATCAACTTAATAAAACATGTCACTAAATTACCACTTATAATTATAAGGAGAAGAACAAGAAAAAATAAGAATGGAAATGAGTGAAGAGCAGTATGGATTTATGGAAGGTAAAGGGACAAGTAATGCAATATACACATTATGAACACTTATAAAAAGATCAATGGACATACAAAAGGACTCATATTTGTGCTTTATAGATTACCAAAGCATTTGACAAAGTTAAACATGAGGAGATGATAAAAATGTTGGAAGACATCAATGTAGATGGGATTTGATTTGATTTGATTCAAGAACCGACATCACAGCACTTGGGGCATTCCCATAAGTGCTCCGTCCCCATCTTCAGCAGCCAGCGAAGAGTTCCGATACTAATGGTGCCAGTAGCTTTCTGATTAAACGTCCGTCTTGCCTTTCTTCTGAGCCTTGAGCTTCTGCCAGAACCTCTCGTCACTCCCCACTGCATCAATCTCACCAGACTGTGGTGCTCCATCTGTTCCTCCGTATTGTACACATCTCCCACAAGGCACTAACCACGTCTGCCCTATCATGTAGCAGTATTCCACCAAGTTGTGCAGAGCCAGCCAGTCTGTCCGCCTGTTCATTTCCCAACGGTGAAAAAATCCAGACAATACTCCTCACTCGTGTCCTCTGCAGCGAAGCATGCCACTCTGTACGAAGCATACCTGTTCTGATCTTCCTCAGCATGCTTTCTGAATCAGTTACAATTACAATGTGTGTGTGTGTCATGTTCTCTAGCCAGCGGAAAGCTGCAGTGACCGCCTCCACCTCCATTCTTAAGCTGGATGTTGTGGTATCATTTGCTAGGCTCTCCTGCACCAAAAGTCGACCATTAACTTTTGCTAAAAAGCCCCAAGCACTTCTTTTGCCTCTTGACACTGATCCGTCTGTATAAATGATCAAATCCTCTGAGATGATGTAGATGGGAAAGATCTCAGAATAGTTAAAAACATTTACTGGAACCAAGAAGCAGCAATTAAAGTGGGAAACGGATTGGGTACTTTCGAACAGAAAAAGCAAGGAGTAAGACAGGGATGTGTCTTATCCCCAGACATTTTCTCTCTATATAGTGAAGTAATATCACATTTAAAAGATAGATAAAAAAGTAATCATAAGTCTAAATAATTTTAAGTTGAATCTGTAGAGCTTTAAAGGTAAACTGATCAATTAAATAGCATGAACACATACTTTTGGAACTGAGAACACGTTAAATAGCATGAACAAATACTTTTGGAACTGAGAACACATCTATATATAGGTAACATGTAACACACTATGAATTCAAGTTACCGAATATTATTTTTGCAGTTAAATGTTTTTTTAAATTATTAAAAAAGATTGGTTAGATATTAAAACAACATGTGGATGTTAATTTGCTTCTGTCACTATTCACTGATAAATTAATAAGTATACAGTTGACACTGCAATCATACAAACACCGATGCATAGATAACTGAAGTATCAGAAATCTAAAGAGAATTGAAGTTGGCCATTTAACTTGCACATAAAAATATACACGTTTATGGGTTATACTGACAGGTTTTGGGCTTTCCCCCAAAGGATATATGTTTAAGCCACCACAATGCAGTTGTGAAGTATGGTATTGTTATTCAAAGATTCTCACACCTGCCAGAGAGGATTTGGGAATGTAATACTTCAAGTGTTGAAGTAACATTTCAAACACACCCAGTTTACATGTGTAATTGCATTACTGAATTATTATTAGATGATAATATTTCTGGAACTGAGCATTTTGACAAATATGAACTTATATGATACTGTTAAGGCAGATGTGATACCCACTACAGTAGACTATCATACAATAATAGCTGAAAACAATACCAGTACTGTACAATGTGACAGACAGATACACGTCTGTTGTATAGTATAAATGATAATTAATTGTAATCATTGTGTCAGTTCGTGACCACATCCTCCTGATAATCATTGGGGATCCATTTCACATCTGGCCCATGTTGATGGTTGGGTCATTTGGTCTTGCTCACACCAGAAGTAGGCATGTCCGCCGGCGAGCTGTGAAGATAGCCCAACTCATAAATTGCTCATTTCAAACTGTCCTTGCTGTTACTCCTTGAAAAAACTCCCATTAATTCTTCATCAACTTTAACCAGTTTTCTTGCTATTTTGTGTAAATGAACTGTAGATTAATGTAATATCACAAATTTATTACAGGTCAAAAAATACAAAGTTCACTGACCATTCTTCTATGGTAAACAAAGCATTAGGATACTGCAAAATGCATCTAAACACACCTACATGCACATGGCAAGGTGTTTAATCATATATAAACAGGTCACTTGGATATGAATATGGCTAATGTGTATTGCCCTTTGACCTCCAAGAATACTGTAAGTGGAAGTCTCTAAGGGAAGTCGAAAATGGGTGTTTATACCCCCATAGCAGTTAAGAGCAAAGAAACAGGATAAAGTATAAAAATACTTAATATGTTGGAAAGTTGAAGGAAGTATACGTTTTTTTTCTTCTTCACTGTAGCTGTCGTTACATGGGCATATGTTTGTACAACATATGTTGTTCTACTGCCTTCTCTAAACAGTGACAATATTATTCTTTTAGAAATACATTCAGGGCTGATAATGTTTTTGGGTTTTTCAGGGTGTACTATAAAACCCACTCCATGTTTAGCCTTTGCTTATTGACAACGCTCCATCTAAGAACATAATTTTCATGTTTTTGTTTTGTATTTTGTCCCTTTTTTCTTGTGTCAGCTAATCCTAAATTTCAGAGGTTTGATCTCTTCATGTACTCAATTAATTCTGGTTCCTCAAACATGGTATGGTCTGTCCAATCAAAACCGCTCTTCGGTATAAGGCGAGCCAATACCATTTAGACAGATGGGGTGCCAATGCAATATACTTTCACTTGTTCCAGTCATTTTTCATACCCACTATTTAAATTAGCTTTCTCAAGTATGGTATGGTCGGTCAAATTAAAACTGTCCCCTATTATAAGATAAACCTGACAACTCAAGCAGACCAATTGTGTCTGCCTGCGCCTGTCCTACAAAACTCACATCTGAGTTCCTCAACCATATATTGCTGCCCCTAGTCGTTGGTCTACCTTCCTATATCAAGGACATCAACCATGCTATCTCTGTCTTTCAATTGATTTGGCTCCCCTCTCCTTCCAGACAATACATCATCACCATAGATGTTACCTTTTCTACACACATATTCAACATTCTGATGGTCTCCAGGCTTGGTGATTCTTTCTAGATCAAAGTTATATCATCGCTAGATTGATGGAAAAAAGAAGCAGGGGAAGGCAAAGAGAATAATACCTTGATAGCTCAGACATATGGATGGGGTAAGATAAGAGCCCTGACCTGATCTGCAATTATTCTGACCATGTAAGATGACAAAACGTAACTGTCTACTCACAGGTAGGGCAATGATGATAACTCATCACTGTGACAAACAATGAAGAATAAATAAGGATATGCAACCTCTTATGGAGAATATGAGAACAGAATCAATATTAATTAATTCACAGATCTGCAAATATGACAAACATAAATGTGGGGTGTTCAGCCTATCTGATCCATTTATCACATTCTGGCTAAAACTGCTGACATTTTCAGACAGTCAAAGAAGATAATGAAATGACTTTCAATTACAAGTTTTTTTTTAGATAGAGAAGATGCTAGTGAAATGTCTCTTATATAATATGTTGTTTAAATTACATCAGGACTAAATGAATCAGACTTAGGCAAATCTCAAATCCGCAAAAACAATGCATTTATATATGAATATCTAATATGAGGAAAATAAATTTAACCTTGCATTTGTCCAATTGTCAAATCTCTGTCCAGTCTATCTGGGCCTGTGAATATAAGCAAATATATATGTTACTTTTTCAAGGAATATCTGTGATAATGGCTGCATTGTGAATAATGCAAGTGTCCAATCTTTGTCAGGTCTATCTGGGCTTAATAATATAAGCAAATGTTATATAATTATGGTACTTAAAAATTTTAAGTAGACAGGAATATGTTGTGGGAATGTAAGGGGAAATAGGGAATCAGCAATCATCTCATTATTATTTGCTAAAGCCTGTACACACTTAGTAAATGCTGCATAAGATCGAAGGCAGGATTGTCAAAAACTTTTATAGTGAACTCTGCTGTGCGTCAGGGCTGTGTACTATTACTTCTTTTTATAACATAAATGGATACTATATGTAAGGAAACAAACTTTAATCACAAAGAAAATATTTCAGAATAACTATTTTCCGACGACCAGGTACTCATAGCAGAAAGTACAGAATGCCTAAAGAACCACCTAAATCAAATTTAAAACAAGTGGGGGAGGGGGGGGGGGGGATTAATATGAGAATAAACACTACGAAGACAGGGACAATGATGATAGAATGAAAAAAAGACAATTTAAAAATAATTTTTAAAAAACAATTTCTTAAAACAAACAGGAATTCAAGTATTTGGGAGCAATTTTCCTGTCTGATGGAAAACTGGATAGAGAAATTTGCTTGAGATGTGCCAAAGCTAATCAAGTAATGGGGCAACTATCTCCCCTGTAGACACACAAGCAGATACCCTGGAGTACTAAAGTGAATCTTATCAGAACTTTTTTTGGGCCAACACTATGCTATCAGTGCCAAATGGACAATTACATCCCATAATGAACATAAAATTGTGACAGCAGAGATCTTCTTCTTCGTTTTTGCGTTCACCAGCTGTAAACTCTGGTGGAAAGTTCTGGTTGTTCATTCACATCTGGACTACAGTCATGTTCCAGAACCTGAGTGTTGCGTGTGCATCTGTTTGACAGATCTGACACATCTGTGGTTCCTTGCCTCTCAGGCAGATGAACTCCGACTTCGAAGGAAGCTCCCAATTAGTCGACTCTTACGACATGCTTTTGGGTAGGCAGAGAGTCTATTCTTGTTTTCCCTATAATAGGGCCTCGGAACCCACACGGGATACAGCAGAGATGAAATGCCTTAGAAGAGCTGCAGGAGTTTTAAGGAAAGACAGAATATGAAATATAGGAATGCTAGGAATAAAGCCAGTCTTACAGATCATCAAAGAACACCTAACAAGAATGCTCTGGTACTATCTACCACAGGAAGTCACACTTAAAGGTTACAACTGGTATAGAGCAAGCAGAAAACCTTGGAAAAGATGGAGTAATGGCATTAGTAACAGCCTTTCAGAAATGAACATCAATCTTATTAGTGCTCTTGACAGAACTCATCAACGAATGTTAATCTCCCCCGACACTTCACTGAGGTACAATGTGAAAGAGAAGAAAAGAAAATTTTAAGTAATATCTGTGATAATTGTTGCATTTATGAATAAAAATTAGAATTTAATATAGTGATTTTCGCCCATGTGTCACCGGGGCCCTCACGAGAAGCAAAGAATAGTGACACTGCACCCTACCAGGCATGTTGTATGAGGCGACTAAGGGTAGGGTTGGGCTTGAGGTTGGCTACCTCATCCTGTAAAAACCATAGCCACAAAAACCAACCAACTATGGATAAGTCAAAAAGAGAAGCAAGTAAAATCCAGCCAACCAAGATGAGGGGAGGCTCTTCAAATAGAAGAAGTATGAAACGGTGTGGAGAAAGCCGTAAGGAGCTTCAAAATATTATAAATAATGAAAGAAAGGGCAACTTAAAAATTTTGATGGGTGACTTGAATGCTAAGATAGGATCAGACAACACAGGTTATGAAGAAATTATGGGAAGACATGGTCTAGGAGCAATGAATGAAAATGGAGAATTGTTCAAAAATTTGTGTGCTGGAAACCAGTATGTTATTGGTGGAAGTATTTTTCCCCATAAAAGAATACACAAGGCAACATGGGAATCACCAGACCATAAGACAACTAATCAAACTGACCACCTATGTATTAACAAAAAGTTTAGATCATCCCTTTACGATGTTAGGGCTTTCAGAGGTGTCGATGAATTTACTGACCATTTCCTGGTGGTAAGTAAAATCAAGTTGAAACTAAAAAGATATATAACATCTTATATCATAGAAACCAATATAATGTAGGCTTTCTCAGGGATAAAGAAGTTAGGGAACAGTTCTCAGTTACGGTCCCTAATAAGTACCAGGTGTTGCATTATGACTATGAAAAAGCATTTGACAGCATTGATAGGGAATCTCTCTGGAAATTGATGGGGCACTATGGAATCCCAAAGAAAATTATCAACTTAGTAAAGGCAACATATAAAGACATGAAATGTAGAGTTCTTCATGAGGGAAAGCTAACAGATGCATTTGAAATAAAAACAGGTGTGCAACAGGGATGTCTTTTGTTGCCTCTCTTATTTTTACTGGCTATAGACTGGACTATGAAAACAGTAATTGCTAACACCAAGAATGGAATTCAGTGGACCCCTACAAAACAGCTTGATGATCTCGACTTCCCTGATGATATTGCTCTTCTGTCCCATTTATGGAATCAGATGCAAGATAAATTAAATATACTTGATGCGAGATCACAGCAGCTTGGTCTGAAAATCCATAAAGGAAAGACAAAGATAATGAGAATAAATCAGGCAAATAGTAATGTGGTTTCTCTTAATGGCAGTCCACTCCAAGACGTGAAGTCGTTCACCTATCTGGGCAGTAATGTAGATAAAGATGGAGGGACTGATAGAGATATTAAAATAATAATACAAAAGGCAAGAGGGGCTTTCATAGCACTAGGGAATTTGTGGAGGTCAAAAGAAATTGAAAGAAATACTAAACTTAAAATTTTTAATTCTAATGTCAAATCAGTACTATTGTATGGGGCGGAAACATGGAGAAAAACCAAGGCGATTACTAATAAATTACAGACATTCATTAACTGGTGCCTGAGCAGAATAGAGGGAATAAAATGGTATGATAGAATAACTAATGTAGAACTTTGGGAGAGAACTAAACAGGCTCCAGTGGACCGAGAGGTGAGGAAAAGACACTGGCGTTGGATAGGACACATGCTGAGAAAACAGGAGAACAGAATAACTAGAATGTCTTTGCATTGGAACCCACAGGGGCATAGGAATAAAGGTAGGCCAAAAAATACATGGAGAAGAGAGCTGGAGAATGAGGTTAGAAAGATGGGGAGGACATGGGGAGAGCTCCATGCAATGGCAAAGGACAGAACGACTTGGTGTGAGTTGGTTGAGGGCCTATGCTCCACTGGGGGATAGAAAAGCAGAAGAAGAAGAAGATATAGTCAATCTTTTTTTTTTAATTTGAAAAATAGTTAATTTATAATTAAACTGTATTTTTTTAAAATATAATACATAATTACAATTACAAATGCACTCAATTCCCTGTCTAAAGGCCTTGTTTAATGTTTTGAAAAGCTCCCACTTGGTTGTCAATTCTTATGGCTGTGTATTGTTGCCAGTATATGGTTTTTTTTTTTTTAATTATTCTCAGACCTTTACCATCAGAGTTAAAGGTTTCCAAAATTATAATTTCTTCATGGTTATTTTATCAAATGCTTTAGTGTAATCCACAAATACAGATCTCTGTTAATTTCAATAATTCTTTCAGTAAGTGTTCTCAAGATAAAGATGGCTTTGTTTGTGCCTCTACCTTCAGCAAAACCATATTGCAATCATAGTCTCAACTAACCAGTTTCATTATGACCCAATGAGGTCATCATCAAAGGACATACTATCACACAGTTCTGGTTTGAATACTACTTACAGCTATATGAAAAACTACACAACAGGTAGTCCTTGCACATCTCACACCCCTGTAGATCAAACTCCTTCACAGTTTGGCATAACTTGGTGTAAAACTCATGCACACCTTCTGATGAACATGACGACAGTCACAATCAAAGTGTAGGCACAGTCGATGGGATAGGCACAGGATACAGCCAATCTACACCCACATACTGAATTTACAACCATTATCTAAGCACACACACATACAGGCTGCTTAAAAAACTGTGTGTGACTTGGGGTCCACTTCTATACCATTTGTTGTTCTTTCACCTGTAATTTTGTTTTTTCAGCTTTATGCATTCCCACCACCAATCATTTGATCAACTGACACCTCATACTTATTCTTACTTTCCATGCAACACATATTTATCTTCTAGACAAAAAAGCTTTTACTGAACTAGATTCCAGTCATGAGGATAATATATAATTATGTGCCTGGTTGTCCTCTTTCAACCAATCGTCTCATTACCCTATGTGAGTTCCGAGACCCTATTTTCATCATTGCCATCATGTGCCCTGCCAACTGGCGTAGACGCTTATGTGTCTCCACAGATCACAATCCCCGGTTGCCTGAAACAGCTCTCTTGATGATATCCCTCCATGTCATCGTTTCAGCCCATCTAGCATCATCTCTCTTGGTCTGCCTCTACCCCTTTTTCCATTGATCTTTCCAGTTGTCACGATGTTCTCCAATGTCTCTCTTCTGATTATGTGGCCAAAGAACAGTTTTTGTCTCTTTCTTATTGTTGTATATAGAGATCTACTTTCATTAGCCTCTTTTAAGCAATCGTTGTTAGTTACTCTGGCCTTCCAAGGTGTTTGTAACATTCATTTCAGAAACCACATCTCTGTTGCTTCCAAATTCTTCTTAATTTTTTAAGTTACATTCCAAGATTCACTGCCATACAGCAGAACAGGTTCTGTGTAACATTTTAGCACCCTCTTTGACTCCATTTTAGCTAGGAAAAAACCACATAGATCTACTGCCCCCCCCCCCCCCCCCCCCCAGCACCAACAAGCACCATAAAAGGTGACCAATTAGGAGTTTTCCTTTCCGGTTTTGGTGCACCTGCCTGATGTCATAGAATAGCCGTAACCATCCCTAAACTTTGGACTATTCGTGATGCTGGCGCCCCTAGCAGCGAGGTCACATTCAAATTTCGACCCCTCCAGTGGGTAAATAGTCCATCATGTCTATTTCCACCTTTATATGAGGGAATACATATTTCTATATGGTCTGAATCTCTTGAAATGTCTACATTTTCAAACTTACCATTAAAATTAGAGATTCTTTGTGTTATTATTCTTAATCCGAGAGGACGATTCACGACCTCGGCCTATTAATCGGCGCACTTCTTCTGCTAAAGTGAGGCAACAATTTTTACCTCTCATTCTCTGCCCGACAGCCAAGAAGAACGGATGTTCATAAATGTGCCTCTAAAATTTGTACTCTGAGAAGGCGGCCTTTGTGTCCAGGACATTTCCTAATGCTTGGGTAAGTCGATTAGAGTTTATGAGTACCATGTATATATGTATATATCCCTGAGCACAGGGATGATTCGGCTATGAGACATTACAGAGCCAGACTGTTCTTGGGGTCAAAATTCTCCCTGCCACCTCAATCAAACTTCCCCTTTTCAAGCTGAGAGTATGTGCACTAATAACCCCAACATCAGTATCAATGATTGAATCTAGCAGTCCAATAGTTCCATAACTAACTAGTTGTGAAAATGTATGGCGACATAGAAGCTGGCGATTAATTGGGTCAGCACACAGCTTCACTTAGCGGCGAGAGACACACAAAGTGACTCAGGGGTTATTTATAGGAAACTCAGTCACAACACAGAGTACCTGGAAGGCTAGGGTCAAACTGTGAAAATATAATATACATATGGGGGTGAGTGGTAGTCTGTGTGACTACAGGTGCAGATGTGGATGTGGAGAGATGATGTTCTCTGTCTGAGAGGAGTCTGTCTCCACTGTGGAACTTGTCTCATGTCTCTTATAGGGACTGACTGACACTGGTGCATAGAGACTAATACATTCTTCTTATTCTGAGAGCTGTTCTCTGAGCTATATATGTGTGGGGATGGAGTTAAGCAGGTGCTAGGTATATGAGTTGAGATGACTGCTAATTCTGGTGTTCCACTTCCTCACAGGATGATATCTCTTGGAAGCCAGGCAGTTAATCAACAGTCCATACAGCCACCAGCTTGAAAGCCACCAGCTTGATTGCCACAAACTCTTATGTGCCGCCGGCAGCCAGAAAACTGCACCATGGGAGCCTATTGACAACTCTGTTCAGACAGCTCGGGAGCAGCCTTTGTTTCAGTGGGAGAAGTCCATATCCAGGCAGCCACCTGGAGAAGCTGGACAGTGCCTATCATTTGGGGTGACCCATTCTTTTTCAATAATATATCAGACAGAATGACATTTTTTCCACATACTGTTCCTGAGATGCTGAGGAGCAAACCAGTCTAGTGACTTTGTTCCAGATGTCCCAGTTGGTGTGATGCAAGATAAGTCCATCAGAACTCAGTGCCTGGTTTCTAGATTCACTATTCTCACATGTGCGGTGATGATATTGGCGGCTCTCTGGAAAAACTGAGTTTCATGCATATCTAATATGTCTGTTGTTTCTTAATGCCATTGAATTCTTTTTCCCTGATTCATGATATATATATGTTGAGCTTATTACATGTCTTTGGAATTTTTCAGTATTGAAGTTAGTGTCCATCCTTCATTGTTCTTAGCTGTCTGAAATGTGTGTATTAATATATTAGATCATATTCTGTGTTAACATGACTATGATAGTAAACTATCATAGTCTGGGGTCTATTTTCTTGTAGGAGTGGGGATGTCTGGCCAAGTTGCGCCTAGGAATATATATATTCTGTAGCTATATAACTTGTGTTGCCCCACCCCTGAAATAGGTTGGATGTGTATATTGGCCGTGGGATACCACTTAGACCAATACGAGCCGACATCCCAACATTTATCCTATTTCAGAGTGCTGTTGGTTCATTAGGAGAAATCCTTAATCAGACATGTGACACGAGCGGTATGTGACACCTGAGAGGCAAGGATCCAACTAAAACAGATGTGCACGCAAAATTTAAGTTTTACAGCCAATGAGCACTAAGAAGAAGATTACACCCTACTATATTTGTCACCTCCGTAGCCAAGTATACATCTTTTTCTTCTACAGCATTATCATCTTTTAACCTCCTTATGATTTTTCTTTCTAAAGCCATTGTAAACAAAAGTGCGACATAATGAGAAATAATAAATGCAAAAAATAAATTGTATGCCATCTTTACAATAGGGACTGACTGCAGTGAACCTATTGCTATCTCCGTGAATATTACATGAAGAGGCCAGTCTTTTCAACAGTGCAGCTTTTGTACCACTTAACTAAACCATGTCTATGTGAAATAAAAGTACCAGAATGATTTGATTTGATTCAAGAAGTGACATCACAGCACTCTAGGCATTCCCATAAGCACTCTGTTTCCATCTTCAGCAGCCCAAAAAGAGTCTGAATATAAATGTCTGATTATATGACCATCTTGCCTTTTCTCTTAGCGATGAGTATCAGCATCAATATTCCCCCAAGTTGTTTAGAGCCAGTCAATCTGTCTGTCTGTTCCTTTCCCAATACACAGGCACTTCCTGTAGAAAAGATCCAGACAATCCTCTTCACCCTTGACCTCTGAAGCGAAGCATGCCACTCTGCATGAAGCATGCCTGTCCTCAGCCTGTTGTTGCAGTCAGTTACAGTTATGATGTGTGTGTATCCTGTTCTCTCTCTAGCCAGCAGAAAGCGCAGCAGTGACTGCCTCCACTCTTAAGCTGGATCTTGTGGTATCATATGCTAGGATCTTCTGCAACAAATGTTCATCATTAGCTTTTGCTAAGAACCCCCTGGCTCTTCTTGTGCCCCCTGACACTGAACTATCTGTATAAATATTCACATAATCCGAGCGAGCATTATCCTAATGTAATTGCTGAATTTCCACCTCTGCGGTACCAGAATGGCTAAGTGGATTTTCTGGAACACCTAGTAAAATACTTACATACTGGCAACAAGTAGCCTGGTCATTTCTAATTTTATGACTATCGTTTTTCAACAATTTAACTACTTATAGGTTTACCTGCTAAAATAAGCATCTTTGGAGCACTGCAAGACAGAAACTTCTGTGACAAACCCTCAAACCATCCTGAGAAAAAAATTTAACACTTTCAAATGATGTTATGACTAAATCAATAGATCAATCAAGAAGTGGCCTCACTGCACTCAGGACATTCTCACGTGCATTATCCTTCGAAATGAATCAATTTATTGATGGATGAATGCTCCGTTTGTTTCTGCTTTTCAACGCACCAGATTCCAGATAACTTTCAAGTTTTCACCATGACTGCCTTAACATTACATACAGTATATTGTTAGTTTTGTGAGGAATGATGCTACACATTGTGTTTATTTAAAATAGTATTTAACATACAAAGCATTTACTAGACTAAATATATAACAACTCAAAATAGATATCCATTACAAGTTGCTATCAAGGAATACTTGAGGAAATGTTTTGTAAGGCATATAGATATACAAATGTTCTGGAGACACCTGTGGGTCATCGCTGGAACAATAGTTTTGTGGATTGTGAGTTACCACACACACACTGTTCTGAGACCAAGCTAGTTTAAACAAATCGTGGTGAAATTAAATCAATCATCCCATCTTTCAAATATTTTTTTTTAATTAATTTCCTTATCATAATAAGTTATTCTAGGACATATTTATATACCTTTATTTTAAAAAAACACACTTATTCCAGTCTTCTGAAGAGACAACTGGAAAGCCGCAATTCTTTTTATCTTATGTAGTAGCTTCCGAAGATTCACATTTCAACAGTTTCAATAATATGCTTTATCTTATTTAGTAACTTTCTGTACCATGCATGCAACATGTGTTTATTGACTCCAAAGGTAATAAGTTTATTCTTCTTTCCTTTTCCCCATTAAATTACAACTCACTAATTCTTCTGAATGTCTGTCACTGGTATATAGGAAAATAGAGCTTAGTCATTTTTCAGGAAACCATTCTCTCCACCGTCGGCTCTGTGGCTAAGTCGATGCGAACGCTTCACTTCGTAATGCCGGGATGCCGGGTTCGATCCCAGTTGTGGGCAATGCGCCTTGCTTTGGTTTCGACAGTGGTATCAAGAAAGCCGACCGTCCAGAAAGCAATGGCAAACTACTGGACGTAAATATGCCAAGAGAAACCACACAACAGCCAGGGGCTGTTAGGGTTGGTTCTGCAATGTCCTGTAAAGGATACACAACTAACTTCTCTCCCCCATTTCCGGTCCAAAGTCTGGATAAGAAAGGAGGATCGAGCATGGGGACCTATGACAAATTATTTGATACAGAAAATTGCAGGAAAGGATGCAAAATCAAATTGTGTGTGGTGCACATAGTGCATGTATGATGAGTACCGATGAAAGCCGCTCTGCAGAAGTCAGTGGCCAGACCTAAGCTCACCGCTTGACTAAAAAATAATTACTAGAATAGGTTTGTGGAATGTTAGGACTATGGTGGAGGCAACAAAATCCGCCTATGTAGCAGAAGAAATGAAGAGATACCAACTAGATTTACAGGCGGAGTGCAGAGTATGGTTTAGACATTAACATTCAAAAAACAAAAACTATGGTAATTAACAAAAAGAGCGGCCAACTGTGAACATCACAGTAAACGGAGAGCTAACAGAACAAGTATCATGTTTTTTTCCATCTAGGACATGTAGTAACTGACGATGGAAGAAGCGAAACAGAAATGAAAAAAGAGAATAGGAATTGAATGGTTAAAACTATCTTCAAAAAGATGCAGAAATTACTGACAGCTAGAGTGATAAACAACACACTAAAAATTAGAACTGTCAAATGTTATTTATACCCAATCCTGCCATATGGTGCAGAAAACTGGATAATGAACAAGCAACTATAAAATCAATTTGAGTTCCTGGTAATGTGGGTATACAGAATAATAGGTCATATTTCATGGAAACAAAAACAGTCCAATAAAGAGGTTCTGGAAAAACTACAAATGAAAACAGAATTACTGAAATAAATAAAAAAGAGACAACTGAAATACTCTGGCCACATTAATAGACATAACACACTTTTAAAAACCATACTGGAGGGAAAGGTAGAAGGCAAGAGAGCAAGAGGTTGGCAACAATACAAGTGGGATAATAACATCAAGAGAAGGATGGTCAGCAGTCTGAGAAAGTGTACAACCAGGAGAAGAGACAGAGCGTGTTGGAGATCCAGTGCAGCTAACCTTCACTGTGGAGACAGCACCTCACTGAGACTGAGAACTAGATATTTTAGGGTTAAGTAGAGTCAGGTGGCCAGCAGCAGAAAAAACAGTTACTAGGCTTACCCTGATATACTCAGGGAGAGAAGATGGAAAACATTTGAAAGGAGTAGGCATTTTGATGATACCTAGAGCTGCACTATGTCTACTAGAATGGAAGCCTATTTCAAGCATAACAATTAGAGGTAGGCTTAGTACAAAACATATTAAAATGACCATAATTCAGTGTTATGCTCCAACTAATGACGCTAAAACTGAGGATAAAGATCAATTTTATGACCAACTGCAGCATCAAGAAAATAAAATTGCTAAACATGACCTAGTGGTAGTAATGGAAGATTTGAACGCAAACCTAGGTAGTGAAAATATGGGTGTTGAGAGAGCAATGGGAAAAGAAGGAGTTCACACAATAAATAAAAATGGAGAAAGACTAGAGAATTTTGTATGCAGTCAAAAGGCGTATGATAGTGTACATAGAAACAGTTTAGGGAATGCTATGAAAGACTTTGGAATATTTAAGAAGTTAATTACCATGACTAAACTATGTATTGAAGACACATATAATATAGTAATATATAAAGGCAGAAAGTCAGACCCTTTTCAAAAAGCATCTGGTTTAAAGCAAGGTGATGCTCTGTCCCCACTTCTTTTAAACTTGGTGCTGGAGAACATTTTAAGGAAACTGAAACAAGAGTGTACTATAGGAGAATCTACCAGAAGACTTGGCTATGCAGATGACATTGATATCATGGGAGAAAATGAACTAGAGACTGTTAAAACACTGGATGTCTTAGAAGAATCAGCTCAGAAAATGTGATTAGTTATCAGTCAAGATAAGACAGAATACATGATAATAACTAGACAGTGAAAGGATATAAACTCCGGCCACATACAAGTCGATAATTTGAAAATCAAACGAACGGAAACATATAAGTACTTGGGTGCAAACTTCAACTGCTTCAACATGCTGAGAGAAGAAATAAAATCTAGAATACAATCTGGAAATAATATAATATGCCCTTCAACTTCTACTAAAGTCAAAGTGTCTGTCTTGCAACACCAAGATCAAAATACACAAAACCTTAATAAGACCAGTTATTTTATATGGCTCTGAAACTTGAAGCACTAGTAACAGAGATAAAGCCTTATTACAGGTTTTGGAAAACAGTCTTACGACGAAACTTTGGACCCATCAAAGATGCAAACAGTGAGGAATGGAGAGTGAAAAGCAACGCAAAATTTATAATCTGTTTAAATCACCACTGATCATTGGCATCAAGAGAGCTAATAGACTGAAATGGTTGTGGGCATATTTTAAAAAAATGTCAGATGACGGAGACATAAAAACTGTATACACAAGAAAGATAATTGGTCATAGACCACGAGACAGAGCTCCAAACAATTAGTGTCACCAACTGGAAAGAAAAGGCCAACCAGAGAGATGAATGGAGGTCAGTGATATCTGCAGCAGTGAACCTCAAGTGCTTGGAATGCTGAAGAAGAAGCAGAGGTATTGCAACAATAAAATATTAAAATGTTAACATATTCAAGGATTTTAGACATGAATCAAGATTTGTATTTGTACACATAAAATGTTGTACCTTACTTTTTTTAAATACTAAATTAACAACATTGCTATCCATTTCTAAGAATTCACATGCTTTTTCTATTCAATGATGCATCAGCTAGCCTTTATTTGAGACAATGAATCTAGATAGTTTGGATTTTATTATAATTTTTCTGTGCCATGTCAAATTTCACAACAACTGAATTTCAGACACAGCTGATCGAAACAGGGATGATCTGACTGAAATATTTTGTTCTACTTTATTACAACTAATAGATCTGGCACTGCCATTATTAATTATAATGGTAAGACTACTGTCATTATCTGGCTCAGATTCATCAACGACAGCACAAGTATGAATGAACAAACAAACAAACTTTATTTTCAAAGGGTTACAAATTAGGCACGCAGTCCCGTCTGCATGTTTGCTTTATCTGGTCATGAAAATCACATAAAAATTGTATTGATTTAATTAAAAACAAAAAAAATATAAATCTTATCATTTCACCTTGCTTGGAAAAGAATAATACTTTCTGTCGCAAATTCTAGTTTTTTTTTTCAGCAGCAAGTGAACAGTTCCAATTCCAACTGCTCCAGTAAATGTCTGATTGTATAATCGTCTCACCTTCCCCTTGATTGTTGAGCATCAGTCAGATCCCCTGGTAACTCCTTAACTCCTTGCAGTGCCATTCTCTTCAAACCGCAATGATCTCTTTGTACCTCTGTACTGTTCACACGCTTCCAAAGGACCCTCACAACATCTAGCTTGTCATACATCAATTCATTACCAAATGGTGCAGAACCGGCTAGTCTATCTGCCTGTTCAATTGCTAAATTGTGTCTTTAACTTGTGCTATCCAAGACCTTCCTTTTTTCAGTCTGTGACTCTTAGCTCTACCTAGGGCTTCATGCAGGAGGTGCTTCTTGTCTGCGGTTACTCTGAGATATGACTTTGCTTGCAGAACTTTAAGCTTATCTGCAATAATAGGCAATGCAAGTATATATCGCATACAAAAAAAAGTTTTCCATGTTGCTAAGGGAGCTAAGATGGATGACTTATACGGCCAGTCCATGAACTCACGACCTTAAGTAATTAGACCCTACACAAATCTTATTCTTGCTCAGACATTTTGACCAACTCCTCCCCTGGTCCAAATCTTTCAAGCCTGCATAAATGTCTAATTGTGTCTTTAACTTGTGCTATCCAAGACCTTCCTTTTTTCAGTCTGTGACTCTTAGCTCTACCTAGGGCTTCATGCAGGAGGTGCTTCTTGTCTGCGGTTACTCTGAGATATGACTTTGCTTGAAGAACTTTAAGCTTATCTGCAATAGTAGGCAATGCAAGTATATATCGCATACAAAAAAAAGTTTTCCATGTTGCTAAGGGAGCTAAGATGGATGACTTATACGGGTCGCAAAAACACTGAACAAATAATAATTACACAGTAACTAACAAACACATCAACTTCCCAGCAGCATCCAGCAGTGAAACATGTTGCCCTCTCCGGTCATATCTCTTGGTGACTAAATTCGATGATCACCGAAATCATGACATGTAGACTGCAAACAGATGGCCTTACCGACAGTTATTATTTTGAGTTTTATCCGGGTATATTTATTTTTATTATTCCAAGATAGCTGCGCCTATAACTGGTATCAGTCTAAGCTGATACAAGCATTGCTGGCAGTCAAATTTTGTTAATTTTTGATAAAAGCGCATTTACATTCATTTTGTCATATCTTAAGACGTAAATCAGACCCATAGTATTGATGATTCGGAATTGGAAAGCAAATATAGTGCTTAAAAGGATAATTCTTGGATAAGCAGAGATACCTTAGCTCTGATCAACATACCTTAGCTCTGAGCATACAATTATACAAGTGAAATATTGAGGAGGGGATCTGAGCCCTTTCAGACATGTCCAGAGTGCAATGATGATAACCCAACTAACTAACTAACTCACTGTAACATTTTAATTTATCGCCAACCATGTCCCAAACATTTTATTGCACTTACATTGAACATATTCATAAAAAACTGGGGAAATTGGTGGTTTTGAAACATCTCCTGAAATGTCTATAAATAGCCACACAAATTTGAGATGGCTACCATGATGTTGAGACAGATTTACATAATATATTCTTGTTCATGTGTAGCAACCTTAATAATGGTGCTCTGAAGGTTTCAAAACCCTACGCTCATTCTGAATTTTGTCAATGAATTTTATCAGGAAGAGCAGTCATTCTGCAAAAAAAAAAAAATCTCTTAACACCCTTGATAATGGGAGACAGCAATGCAACGGACTGCTGGTCAGAAAAGTGTTAAGGTTGGAGAAAGGAACATTTTCAGTGGTTAGGACAGATCCCTAGCTTAACTTTGTTGTAGCAGTATTCTAACATTATTCCTCAACATTTCCTTGTCACCATGATGAAAATGTGTATGTTGCAAAGCAGCTGAATTAGCATGGTATGTTTCATGTGCTACACTTGTGAAATTTTAAAACTACATTATCACCACTTAGTTATCTCATGCTAAACCCCCGGTACTGAAAGAGTTAATAACAGCTTATAAATAGGAGAAGGAAGAGACTGAGGAGAAACAGAGGAGGAGGAAGAATAGAAGAAGAAAGAGTGCACAAATAGGAGAGTTCTTTTAATCTGTTACCAAAAACTGGCATGTTTACCTGTCCAGAATTTTTCTGTTTTTGACAAATCAATTCTCCAAGTATATTTGTGGTCCTATGTTAAAGAGAGAGAACAAAAATCCCATGTTAATGCATTGTGCATCAAACAACTTGTCATATGTTGTACATAATTTGCTTCAGATAGCTGTTATGCATCAATTCACTCAGACATAGTTATTAAAATACTCTCTCCACCTGTCTACTTCAGCCCCTTCACTCAGTTATTTATCTTTCATACCTATATTCCTTTAATATAAATATCTGGTATTTTAAAGGTTCTGGTAATAGAATTAATCACATTTTTATAATGCTGGAAAATTTATTATAAGTTCATAAGGCATCAACAGCTTGTTGTCACAATATATCATTAAAAACAAGAGTGATATGTGGATCATCTTGGTAAAGATTGGACATTACAACATTTCGGACAAGCCCATATTAGCTCTGTATCCGTCTTCAACAGCCAGCAAAGAGTCTCCATACTGATGGTACCTGTTGTCATCTAGTTAACTACTTGTCTTGCTTTCCCCCGAGTTTTGAGTGCTGCCTATAGCCCATAGACACTTCCCGCTGCATCCTTTTCTCCAGGTACGAGTTTTCAATATCTTCCCTTTTATTTGAAATCTCCTCTGCCTTGTGCAGTTGCAGTAGACCCCCTTTCCCACCCCCTCTCTCCGGGTCAGTCCACCAGCCAACCTATTTGTCTGAGCTGATACTATGATAATTTGTTAGGATAACCCAAGTCAAAATCAATTACCATTTACTATGATACTCTCTCTGTTCATCCATCAAGCATCTTTTCCGTCTGTTGCTTTCTATCCCTGTGAGCTTAAATCTTCTAGGTTCTGTAGTCCTACTATTCTAATTTCACCAAAATATGAATGTTTGTCTAAATTTATAAATATGTGGTAAATGTGCTAACTGCCCTTCTTTCATCAAGTGCCTTGCCGACTGGCATGGGCGATAATGCCTCTCCATAATCTGCGATCTCCTGCAGCATGTATCAGTTTGTGTGGCGACACACCTCCATGCCACGCAACAAGACTGTCAAGCATCTTCTCTCGTTGTCTTCCTCTATCCCTCCTTCCACAGATCTTTCCAGTATCTTAGTATATCATTTCTTATAAAGAACTTTATGTTAATATTATCTTCCCTTTCAGTTTCAGATAAAGAAGAAACATCTGGAGCAAGTACTGGCACATGTTTCATATTATAGCAATATTCTAAACCTAAAATTCTAAAAAACAGTCATCTCTCAGAGTAGCAGCAGAAAAACAGTCATCTCTCAGAGTAGCAGCAGAAAAACAGTCATCTCTCAGAGTAGCAGCAGAAAAACAGTCATCTCTCAGAGTAGCAGCAGAAAAACAGTCATCTCTCAGAGTAGCAGCAGAAAAACAGTCATCTCTCAGAGTAGCAGCAGAAAAACAGTCATCTCTCAGAGTAGCAGCAGAAAAACAGTCATCTCTCAGAGTAGCAGCAGAAAAACAGTCATCTCTCAGAGTAGCAGCAGAAAAACAGTCATCTCTCAGAGTAGCAGCAGACAAGAAGCACCGCCTGCATGGTGTCCTGGATAGAGCTAAGAGTCACAGACTCATACAAACTTCTAACAATCACATGATTACTATATTTTATCAAAGATAACAATTTACAAACAACCTCAAGCTACAAACCTGATTAGAATTGACAGGAGTCTTAAAATTTTCAGTTAGTGATGCTGATGAAGCTTCAGGTACCTCATAATCAGATGGCTCTTCTTCTATGGAATCAGTAATACTAAAGTGCTGGTGTTCTAGTTCCATAGAGCCGGTTTCATTTGTTGATACACTGCATATAACATACATTTTAATTAGCAAAAAAACAAAACAATTCAAATATTCAACAATGAAATTAGCTTGTAAATATCTAATTATATAGTTTTTCCCTAATTGACAAAAGCAATAATTTTCTTGTCTTGAGGATGAGCTATAAATTGTGTCAACATACCTTAGCTAGCTCTTATCAACATACCATAGCTCTGATCAACGTACCTTAGCTCTGATCAACATACCTTAGCTCTGAGCATACAATTATACAAGTGAAATAAATCTAATGATTAAAAACTGTGCGCATTATACTGCTGCTTGAAAAAACAAAGCAAACAGAAATACAAAGTTGTATGTTTAATACTGCACTTTTGAGGATATTTGTACACTTCTCTCTTTAACTGAATCAATAGTTTTAGGCCTTACGTACATAATGTCTGACATGTTAATGGTGCTTATAAGTATCAGAAAGGTAAACAATTCAATGTCCATGCAATGAAATTATCTTTTAAAAACTATCTGACTATGGTAAATTAGGTGAGTGGTGAGAGAAAACGCGTTCAGTCATTCACCCTGATCAGGCGGCAGTAATGTGGTGTTCTTTAAATTACAGAATTGTCAGAGATGTGATATCTGACATCACAACAAACGGCAGTAATATACAGAGAGATAATTCACTAAAATATCTAGAAATTACTTTTGACAGAGACATGATTTTCAAACACCATGTGAAAGAGGTAGTTTTAAAGACAGTGAAAGGACTTTATGCTTTAAATGTGATGGCATCAGCAGATATGGAACAGAAAATGCTCAACACACTCTACCAGCAACTCAGCTGATTATTCTGGTACTGGAACTGTAAGAGCTAATGTTCCAAGCCTCACAATTATGAAAATAACATCAAAAGAGAAAGCAAATTGAGGAACCTGGGTATCATTTTCAATAGAAGCCTGTCCTTCAGGGATCATGTAGAGGCAGTGGCAGTGAAATGCCAAAAAGGACAATGCTCTCAAAATGCTGGCAGCAATGGACATGGAAAAAAGAATGCTGCTCACAGTGTTTTAGCATGTGATCCTGTCGGTGATATATTATGGACTTGGAATGCTTACCATATCAAAGAGTCAGCTGATGAAACTTGAACAAACACAGAATGAAGCCATGCGGGTAATTCTGGGATTTACAAGAGATACCCCAGTAGTATGTATGAGATATATATTGGCACTGTCTACTATTGCTAGTCAGCTCTGTGGCAAAGTCAATGTGTACGCTTTGTAATGCCGGGATGCCGGGTTCGATCCCAGCTGCGGGCCATGGGCCTTGGGTTAGTTTCGACAATGGTATCAAGAAAGCCGACCGTCCAGAAAGCAATGGCAAACTGCTGGATGTAAATTTGCCTAGGAAAAAACACATAACAGCCAGGGGCTGTTGGGGTTGGTTCTGCAATGTCCTGTAAAGGATACGCAACTAACCTTCTATTGCTAACAGGCTCAAAGTTCTGCAAGCAAAGTCATATATCAAAGTAGTTGCAGACAAGAAGCACCTCCTGCATGAAGCCCTGGGTAGAGCTAAGGGTCACAGACTGAAAAGAGGAAGATCTTGGATGGCCCTAGCTGAATATATGATTGGACATGTGTGCAGGCTCAATAAATGTAAGCAAGGAGAGGAGTGGGTCAAAATGTCAGTGCAAGTTTAAGACTTGTGTAGGATTCTTATCACTTTGAGTTGTGAGTGCAGGGACTGGCCAGTTGGTGCTGCAGAATCAGAAGTGCAGTGATGTCAAGCCTTGAATCATTCATTCATTCTTCCTATTGATATTACTTCTGTCTTTCCAGTGTTGATTCTCAAGTTACTATTTTGACATTTTTTTTAATGGCTGAATCTGCTATTAAGACTAATTTGTTGATCTTACTAATATCTTTCTTCCTGGGCTTGGCATCCTTTCATAAACTGTAGGTGATAAACAGTAGTGGTGATAAGCCACACCCCTATTTTACTCCAGATATTACTGCAAATGTTTTAGATGTTCCTCATTTATTTTAACTACGCATCTACAATCCTGCTGCTTGCAAAATTCATAGTGGTGTGTAAAGAGTTAATAAAGCTAGGGTTTGGTGAAGCATAGGTACACACTGGCATTCATGTTGTGTTGAAGGGTAGTGAGTGAAAACACTGGAATCAACTAAAGTTGTGGAGCTGGGGTTGCTGGACATTCACGTGTTGGCTGTGAATCCAGGGCAGTGGAAAAGAGTGGAGCCTGAGCCACTTGCAGCTGTGGAAACATGAGTTGCTTGAAGTTCACAACAAGCTTGCGAACACGTTACCATGGTCCATCAGGGATATTGTGAAATCCTTGTAGGTACACGTTACCATGGTCCATCAGGGATATTGTGAAATCCCTGTAGGTACACGTTACCATGGTCCATCAGGGATATTGTGAAATCCCTGTAGGTACACGTTACCATGGTCCATCAGGGATATTGTGAAATCCCTGTAGGTACACGTTACCATGGTCCATCAGGGATATTGTGAAATCCTTGTAGGTACACATTACCATGGTCCATCAGGGATATTGTGAAATCCATGTAGGTACACGTTACCATGGTCCATCAGGGATATTGTGAAATCCGTGTAGGTACACGTTACCATGGTCCATCAGGGATATTGTGAAATCCTTGTAGGTACACATTACCATGGTCCATCAGGGATATTGTGAAATCCCTGTAGGTACACGTTACCATGGTCCATCAGGGATATTGTGAAATCCCTGTAGGTACACGTTACCATGGTCCATCAGGGATATTGTGAAATCCCTGTAGGTACACGTTACCATGGTCCATCAGGGATATTGTGAAATCCTTGTAGGTACACATTACCATGGTCCATCAGGGATATTGTGAAATCCCTGTAGGTACACGTTACCATGGTCCATCAGGGATATTGTGAAATCCCTGTAGGTACACGTTACCATGGTCCATCAGGGATATTGTGAAATCCTTGTAGGTACACATTACCATGGTCCATCAGGGATATTGTGAAATCCCTGTAGGTACACGTTACCATGGTCCATCGGGGATATTGTGAAATCCATGTAGGTACACGTTACCATGGTCCATCAGGGATATTGTGAAATCCGTGTAGGTACACGTTACCATGGTCCATCAGGGATATTGTGAAATCCGTGTAGGTCAACAGCACATGGGATAATCGCGTGGAACTTGGGTCAATCATCAATCAGTTTAAGTGTGGGCAGAGCGTGCACAATTTTCTAGTCCTAGGAGGCATAGACTTGTGTGACAGTTTTAATAATACTGAGTCAAACTGAGTAGGTTAGATAGAGCCTGTTCATCCTTATTGCTAGCCCTGACGTGAGGGTTAGCCAGCTTCCGAGGCACAGAAGCAGTGAGCTCAAGAGTCCGATTGATTGCGAGTGTATGCTGTACTATGGAGCGCTGCAAGACTGTTTGGGAGAGTGTGGAGCTTAAGGGGTTAATTCCATGTTAGCCAGTGTAAAGACATAAGTGATGTTGCTCCATGTCCATTCATTGTGTGCAGGTGGGTAGACCCGAACATTCTTGTGGAATAAATATATGTGAGACATTCGTTGTTGAGTTTTCCTGACTGTGCAAGAGTTGCAGAGTTCTAGTGCAATCATAACCTAGACACTTGACTATATGTTTGTATTCTGCCACCCATAATCAGCATATAACAGGTGGTGTAAAGGTTTCTGAGGTTTCCTTTTGTTGCTGCTGTCTCTGCTTCTTGTGCTAGGTCCTCTAAATATTTAATTTTAACCGCCTTTATTCACCTTTTAACTTCCTTTTTAGCATTTGCATAGTTTTTTTATAAGTTCTAGCTTGAGTACCACTAGTTTTGCTATTTATTAAGTCTACCTATTTGCTTTTTCTTCCTTTGATTTTGACAAGGCACTGTCTATATACTGTATGTTCTCTGTCCCTTATACTAAGGAATTTTATGCAAATTCCCTAAATCTGTTTCCAGCAGACATCAGTGCTAACCTCAGTCGATTGTTGTAGGACCTGGTATTTACTTAAGACTGTAACTGAAACATCTTTCATTAACTTCTTTATTTCTGAGAAATCCTATATTTTACTAGTTCTGCAACTGTAAGTTGTTATACCTTGCTTACCAACAGATGGTCAGTAAATACATCAGCACATCTGTAAGTCCTAACATCAAATAGGGATGATCTAGTTTTTTTGTTTATATAGATATAATCAGTGTGATTTGTTGTCTTATAGTCTGGTTATTCACATGTCGGAAAATGTGTCCACCAATAAAATATTGATTCCTTGCACCCAAATTGGTGAACAATTCTCCATTTACATTCATTACCCCCAATACATGAGCTGCCACAATCTCATCCATAACCTGTGATATCTGATCCTATATTAGCACTCAAGTCACCCATCCAAATTTGTATACAGCATTTCATTTCTTATTTATTCTATTTTTATGTTGCATGTAAAATTCCTCCTTAACTGATTCATTCTTATTATTTGTTTGTGCACAACACAGTATTACTGATATGTTCACTTTCCCTTTTGGTTATTCATCACAAGTTCACAGGAGGTGAAGTGACAAATTTAATGTGTCAGTTCAAACTCATATGTACTGCCTGCTCATTAACAACATCTAGCTAATAAACTGCTAACCTTTTTAATTGACCAACCATTGAAACTCTTGCAGATTCAACATTCTGAATTTGTCCACTTCTTACACTATGGAAAATAAACAAGAAATAAATTTAATGTTTATAAAAGTCACACAATACATCAAAAGGGTAAAACCAATAAGTGTAAAACTGGTATCAGATGGTTATTAAAAAAAATGCACAGCTTTAAGTTGAGAAGAACTGTTGCAGATATACATAGGCAACAAATATTAATAATTGCAGAAGTTTGCACAGACAATAATTAGCAAAAACTATAATTTTACATAAGTACAAAACGGTAAAAACTTTACCATTTGCAAAGATACACTTTGGAAACATCTGGTAATATCTGTAATACTGGCAGAAGTACAGGCAGGTAAGAATTAGCATTTGCAAAGATGCCAGTTGGCAAGACCTGTAATGTTTACAGACACCTTATCTGTCAACTTAAAAATGAGTCTAATTTTATTATAGCCGAAACAAAAATGTCATCCATAAGGCAAAGAATGTAATCCAAACAAGCAAAATTAATTTTATTTAGCTATTCAAAGCACCTGATAACGTATGTAGCATGAAGCAAAGAGACAACATTAAATTATTAAAATTAAAACTAATCACATTTCAGTTGGATTTATTCAGTTTTGTGCTTCATTTTATGTTGATGTAGTAGCGCATCTGACGAGACATAGCGAAATATGCCTGGCAATAAATTGTGCAATGTATTGTTTGTGTCCGCATTATTTAAACATTTAATTCCCTTTTGAATTCTGAAAAAGTGCTACTGAGACAGCTGAACTGGTAGGATAATCATATGAGGATTAATGTTTATCTCATGCACAGATTTTCATATGGTATTTATTATTTATCAATTTTTTTTTCAAGGGTTTATTCAAGGTAATTTTGCCTTGTTCAAGGGTGTACCAGACAAATGCAGTACCTTCTTCATGCGCACAATGTCTAGAGAGACGAGAACCGACAAACAATGTTGAGAATACAGTACATACAGAAGAAACAAACACTGAAATGTTGATAGCTGTAGTTACCAAAACCACCAGGGAAAGATAAATATAATGTATGGAACAGTAAAGCAGCCATAAAAACACACAGTAAAATGAAAAAACATTCGATTAGAGATGCAGAAAAAAGAAAAAGATGTAGATAGAAAGCTTAAATAGGTGGGTAAAATCAATTTCACGTGAGATGCGACTCCTTCAAGTGCTGTCTGCTCTAGATGAAATACTTGAGAGTGAGGGAGACTGACAAAGGGCACAGGAGGAAAGGTAAGGCAGACACCCAGAGAGAGAGAGAGAGAGAGAAAGATGGCTGAGGAAAGGAAGGCAGAGAGAGTAACAGAAAAAGAGGGAGAGACACATAGAGAGGGGTTGGCAGAGAGAGATAGAGAGGGAGGAAGGAGTGACATGCTGAGAAGAGATGGAAGGAAAAAGACATAAAAAGACAGACAGGAAGGGAAGTAGACAGTCAGAGATGATGAAGACTACAGTCAGGGGGGGATAGAGTGAGGTTAATAAAGAAAGGGAGGAAAGGAAAGAGACAGACAGAGAAGATATTACACAGAGAGAGGGGAAAGAGGTAAACAGACAGAGAGGAACACAGATGGCAAGAGAGAAGGACAGACAGACAGAGATACAAAGGGGGAAGGAGAGTGACAGGCAAGCAGAAACAGAGGGAGGATAAGAAAGAAGTATAGACAAAAAGATTTAAACAGGAAGTGTGTGAGAGAGAGAGAGAGAGAGAGAGAGAGAGAGAGAGAGAGAGAGAGAGAGAGAGAGAGAGAGAGAGAGAGAGAGAGAGAGAGAGAGAGAGAGAGAGAGAGAGAGAGAGAGAGAGAGAGAGAGGCAAACAGATAGACGTTGGAAGAGAAAAAAAAGATACTCTTATATTTTAAAGAGATCCAGCGAGAGAGAGGGAGGGAGGAAGAGACAACAAGAAATTTTAGAGATACAGTGGAAGGGAAAGAAGGCAAACAGACAGTTAGATACAGAGAGTGATGGACAAGAAAGGAAAAGAGAGATAAAGAAAAAGGGAGAGAGGAAAACAGACACACAGAGAGACAATTAGATACAAAGATACAGAGAGGGAGGGAGTGAGTGATAAAAAGAAATAGAGAGGAAGGGAAAGAAAGAAGCAAACCAAGAGAGATATAAAGAGGAAGGGGGAGGGGCAGAAAGATTTACAAAGAACGGCAAACAAATCCTGAGAGGTTGCCATATCAGTTATTGGTCATCAGACAAAGAATGTGGCACAAATCAGAAGGAAAGTATTATCTTGCCAAATTCTTCCACTAAAATGTTCTCACATAATGCTTACAGTCAGACACTGGTCTTTCTATCCCCATTCTCCCCATGCAGGTTCCAGGGCACCTTTGTGGAGAAAACAAGAATAGACCCACTGCCTCCCCAACAAGCATGTCATAAGAGTCAATCAACTGGGAGCTTCCTTTGAAGTTGGAGTGCATCTGCCTGAGAGGCAAGGAACCAACAATCTGCATACCAATAAGTCCAATTTGTAAAAAAAAAGGACGTGCACACAATACTCAGGCTCTAAAGTCCAGAGGTGGACGAACAAAAGAACTTTTTGCCGGATTTTCCAGCCAGTGAATGCAAGAAAGAAGTATTACCATTCTCTGACCCTTGGAAGGATTTTGTCAATGTGAACAGAAACTGGATTTCCAATCTAGCTTCATCTTCAGTCATTCTTTCACTAGCTTAAAGCTTGCTAGGCAACACTTGCATTAAAAACACAGACTATGTGTGGTGTATATCTCAACAAAGAGATTCATTACTGTGCTTCATCGTATGTTGACTTATTCTGAACTCTGTACCTGACAAGATACAATGAAAAATAAACAGTGCAACCTATTGCTTGTGTCTTTATTATTGACACATGTATAATTCTTAGGCATTATATAGAATCAATTTTAACACCAAGTCAGTACTAAGTGTGAGAAATATAATATGAGGATAAGCACCGATAAGACAGAGTCAATGGTAATAGGTAGACAAGAAAAACCATATCAAGAACCCTTTTTGTAAATGAGCGAATTTAAATATCTAGAGTTATTTTTTTACCTGAGATGGAAGAATGGATAGAGAAATCAACAACAATGTATAAAATCAAATCAGGTTATGGGACAATTTACACCGCTGCTGACTCATAAAAATATACTCATGTCAACCAAAACAAAGCAAATGTCATAAACGGTTTTTTGGCTGACATTATGCTACCAGTGCCAAACATGGACCCTTACTACAACTAATGAGCGGAAGTCACAACAACAGAGATGAGATGTCTTAGGAGAGCTGCCTGTGTGACAAGAAGAGATAAAATCAAGAATGAAGAAATAAGAAGAAGACTAGGACTGCAACTAGTCATACAATTCATTAAACAACAACAAATGAGGTGCCATTAGCAAAATAAGACGGAGTAAAACGAGAGCTGATCACAGACGGCAGTAGAGATGGGCTCAGCCACCACTGTGGAATTATCATTTTCTATAAGCAGCTACCAAATTTTCAGTATGCAAAACACTATTGGAAAACTGCTAGAACAAATAGTGGCAAGGAAAATTACTCATAAATTAGAACAAACAGGTAGATTACCATCAACATAGGGAGGATATCAATCACATAGGGATACGTAAAGTATTGCAGCCATTTTTGCGTACAATGAAGGTTTCCATGCAGGAGTGAAAACGTGTGCTGTGACCCTAGACTTGGAAGATGCATCAAACAAGGTTCCCTATGAAAAACTCATACATCAACTCCTAAAGATCAACATTTCCCCCACACTCTCATTAAATGGATAGTAGCAGCACTCTTCAAGAGACAGGTTGTTTTCAAATGTGCAAGATGGATCTCAGTTAAAACCCATACCCCAAGGATTGCCCAGGGGTCACCTTTGTCTCCAGCCCTCTTCAATATTTAACTACTAAGGTGACAAAATATCAAATCACAGGTGAAGGAAGACACTCCCATTTGCTGATGACATACTAGTATACCACCAAGGCAAGAACAGGGGCAGGATTGTAGAAGAACAAAAGGAACTGAGAGGCATAGCAGATTGGTGTCAAACCTCCGGAGCATAGATTAACCATGGGAAAAGTGATAGCAACTTAGTTTTCTTTGAACCACATAGTACACACAATAACGCCCTCTGTGCATTTAAAAGGTGAAGAGATAGCAAGGACTGCACTTGTTAAATATCTCAGAATAAGTTTGATTGGAGCCTTAGCTGCAGATTCTAAGTTGATACTTTGATCAACAAGGCCAGAAAAAGCTTGGTGGCAATGAGAGTTATGGCTGCCATGTGTGGTCAACAAAGGCTGCTAGTCATCTATCTATCTATCTATATATCTACCTACCTACCTACCTACCTACCTACCTACCTACCTACCTACCTACCTACCTACCTACCTACCTACCTACCTACCTACCTACCTACCTACCTACCTACCTACCTACCTACCTACCTACCTATCTATCTATCTATCTATCTATCTATCTATCTATCTATCTATCTATCTATCTATCTATCTATCTATCTATCTATCTATCTATCTATCTATCTATCTATCTATCTATCAATCTGTCTGCCTGTCAGCTGATATTTGTTTGCTAGCACAGGCACCACTTTTATTCCATGGGGATGGACTAATGTCATCCCCACAACCCAACCCTGGTTACGCCATATAGGCCAACCCCTCTCTCCCTCCTTAGACACTCAGTGTACGCAGTTGGCGTCTAATCCGCCCCTTTTTTCGCTCCCACCCGTGCGATGGAGATATATAGGCCGACTGTCATTTTCTTGTACAAAGTTTTTTCGCCAGGGACACAGATGAGTATCATTTATTTTATACATTAGAGTCCTATATAGTCACTTCATAGTTAGAGCATATTTGTGTATGTGTACTGTGTTGTCGTTTATGTGCTGATGAAGGCTAATCGCCGCAACGTCCTTTATTTGTTTATTGTGATCAATTTTGTAAAGCTAACATAAACTGTTTGTTGTTTCTTACCAACTTTTCTCTTCCCTATAATTTTCTACTCCTTTTAAAAACTAGTCATTCTCTATCAGGGTTTTATCCTTTCTGGCAATCCTCACCCTCAGCAAGATACAGATTGGAAAAGGCTGAGCCAAAGACATATCATGTACAGCAATGAGATACCTACCAGATCTTCCAGACATAAGCAGCAGGCTTGAAATGCGCCAAGCATGTGACTATCTCAAAATCGCGGAAGACTTTACACATCCACTGCACAATGAACTAAATACACGTAAAGGCAATACACTTAAACGAGAGCAGTCTTGGTTGATAAAAAGCGACAATCCCACCAACCCATAGAGTTGCCCAAAAAAATGGATGTCAACCGATATTCTGCAGCTGATGGATGAAGGAAGAAAAAGAATGATAAAGAGGAATACTCTAGAATACAAAAAGAAATAGTAAACAAATGCAAAGTGGCTAAAGAAGCCTGGCTGAATCAAATGTGTACAGAGATTGGGGAAAATCACAGGAAAGACTCATATTCCATGTACCAACAGATAAATATGTTAACAGTAAAAGATGACACATAACAGCACTGGATGTTTGATATCAAAAGATGGTGACTTATTAATGGGACATAGTTATATAATTAGCAGATGGACTGAGTATATAGGGGAATTGTATGATGATAATAGACCAGATGTAAATAAATAAACAGTGCTGATCAATAAACTTTCTGTTACTTGATTAATTCATAGACCAGATGTAGAACTGCAGACAAACAATGATGGTCCACCAATAATGACTGCAGAAGTTGAGGATGCAATACATCATATGAAGAAAGGAAAAGCACCCGGGCCAGACAACATCTCACTGGAAGAAATCGAAGCACTGGGAGATTTTGGAACTGAAATAATAACTAAACTTTTAAATTATATTTATAATAGTGGGTATATTCCAAATGACTTCTTAAAATCCATATTTATAGCTCTGCCAAAGAAACCAGGCACTTTAAAATGTGAAGACCATCGCACAATAAGTCTTATGAGTCACATGACTAAGATTTTACTGAGAATAATTATGAGAAGAATAAGAAACAAAATTAAACCAGAAATCAGCGATGAACAATGTGGATTTGTAGAAAGAAAAGGTACAAACAATGCCATATACATTCTAAGGACATTGTCAGAAAGAGCTATAGAAGTAAAGATTGATTTGTACTTATGCTTCATAGACTATACAAAAGCATTTGACTGTGTGAAGCATGAAGAAGTAATCAAACTGTTAGAAAAATTAAACTTTGATGGAAAAGATCTACGAATAATAAAGAATATGTATTGGCGGCAAACAGCAGCTAAAAGAATTAACAACTGTTTAGGTACATTTCAAAGCATAAAGAGGGGCGTACGACAAGGATGTGTACTGTCACCTGATTTGTTTTCAATATACAGTGAATATATAATGAGATCTTTAATTGATATGCCCGGAATTGTGGTTGGTGGGCACAATATAAACAATTTACGTTATGCTGATGACACAGTCTTGATAGCAACAAGTCAGAAAAGAACTACAGGAAATGATAGACATTGTGGTGTTAGAAAGTGGAAGAATAGAACTAAGTTTGAATAATGGGAAGACAGAAGTAATAGTGGTATCAAAGAAACGAATTACTCCTAAATGTGTAATAAAAGTCGAAGGTGTTATTTTAGGACAAGTATAGGAATTTAAGGATCTGGGCACATGGATAACATCAGATGGAAAATGCATAACTGAGATAAGAAACAGAATAGTGACAGGCAAAAACTGCATTTTATAAAATTAAGAACATCGTGTGCAATATATCTTTGTCATTGAGAATTAGAAAAAGAATTGCTTGCTACATATATCCAGTTTTAACATATGGCTGTGAATCCTGGACAATCGGTAGGCAGGCCAAACAATTTCTTGAGGCCTCAGAGATGTGGTTTTACAGAAGAATGCTTAGAATACCTTGGACAGCCAAAAAGAGCAAACAAGAGGTTTTAAAAGAGGCGGGAGCCCAAAGACAACTTATCACAGACATCAGAAGGAGACGGTCATCATTTTTCGACAATGTTATGAGAAGAGGGAAAATAGAACATGTTGTGACCACGGGAAAGATTTGTGGAAGGAGGGATAGAGGAAGACAACGAGAGAAGATTCTTGACAGTCTTGTTGCATGACATAGAGGTGTGTCGGCACACGAACTGATCCATGCTGCAGGAGATCATGGATTATGGAGAGGCATGATCGCCCATGCCAGTCGGCAAGGCACCGGATGATGATGATGATGATGATGATGAGTCTTGGTTGAGCTGTGCAGAGACAGTACTTCAACATGTGATTTCAATTCAAGGCATAAACCGTGGAGAGGAATGGATACCCTTACCAAATGAAAACACGCAGTACTTTGTGGTGGTTATCACCCTGTCAAGAGAGCGCCAAGAGTTGGCACCAGCAATAGTTGATGCAGAAGTGAAAGCACTGGTGGAAGAACACTTCTCACAAGCAAAGTGCATGGACTTTTATGGCAAGAACTAAAGTGAAAGTCATTAAAGAAGACAGTGGAGCCTTTGCTTCTACCACCAGCAGCATGACAATGGAGGTCACAGCTGTGACAAAGGCTCTAGAATGGCTGAAAGCTCAGGAGTTCACCAATGCATGTTTGCTCAGCGACTCAATAAGCATCGAAGAGCGGTACATACAGAAACAGTGGCTCCATCTGATACAGCATGCAGAATTTCGCAAAATCACCTTCATTTCTGTCCCAGGGAATGCTGGTGTGAAAGGCAACGAGAGAGCATATGCTCTGGCTGGCAGTGTGACTATCAGAAATGGGCCCTCTATGGACAGGAAAGACATTATCAATGCCACATAAGAGACTAAATGAAGTGAGGCTTCTAGTTTTGTACAAAAATAAATGAAGTGAGGCTTCTAGTTTTGTACAAAAATAATTGTTCATTGAATAGTCTGCATACCCAGTGTTTACCAACTGAAGTGGCGAGACAGGAAAACCATGCAGGAGCCACTCGTCATTATGACAACCAGAACAGAATGGGAGCTGTTAGCCTAAAAACACTTGGACACATATTCAGGAGGAGATCGCATCACTTAAGGTCATGTCTGAGGAACAATGAACAATATTTCGTATCTGACTGCACATAAAAGAAAAATAAACTTACGCCCATTCTATAGCAGTTTCCATGGTGTCAAACAATTTTGGTCTTCCCCTTAAAAAAGTCTGCATGCTTGACAAAGCTTCCATGGCTGTTCCTTGTTAAAAAAAAAAATCAACAACTGTGCAATAAACTAAAAAAGGAAAATATGTTACAATTATATTTCTAAGAAAACACAATAAATAACTTCTATAATTCCTTGGCCCTTTTTATTTTAGACATGCATCTAAATGCCACTTCTACGCTGATATTTTTCACATCATAGTTAATTTTTTTTTGGAAAAGTATATCTTTTTTAATAGGCTGATCCATCCAAATAAAGGATGTGGTTAATTAAATGCCTAACTGCATGTGGAGGTACAATTACTGATCTTAGATAGTGAAATACTTAGATTATTTCTCTACTGACTGCAAATTTATGAGATTGAAAAAAATTGTTTACTATAAAAAAAAGTATTACAGTCTATGTATTATACTATCTTTCTCAGCTTTCCGTTTTCAAATTTAGATTACAGAAAATGCCTTACCTTCAACAACATCAATGACAGCAAGGCCTATTAGAGACGGGACCAAGTTTCTGAAAGCTGCATGAACAGCAATAGCTCCTCCCATACTAAAGAAATATAAAATTAATAGCAACTGAGAGATCGTAACTTTGGACACACACAGCCTTGTGAAAATTGCGATTTATGCGATAAATGTAGTTAAAGTCACATTTCCATTCATTTCTTTATGTTTCTTTATGGGGAAAAATTTGGTAGAGCTTAAAGTACATTTTTCCACAATGTTTTTCTTGTGAGCTCTCATGCTGATGCGTTAGGCAGATGTTTTGATAACGGAGGCTGATTTTTAGAGCTGTATGGTGGAACAGTTTTGTGAATACTTCTGAAACTATAGGTTATTTACTTGACTGTTTTAAATCGGAAAGCGAATGTGAAGATATTTTGGAACAGTTTGTTGATGTGAATATTATCATTTTTATGAGTGTCGTCAAAAACACTGTCGAAACTAAAAAACTTTATAGCAGTGGTGTGGCAGTTGGAGGGAGGTGTGTTATGTTACATTAGATTGTGTAAACTATTTCATGTATGTGCTTCAGGTGTGTACTGTTAAGATGCATTTGTAGGTGAAGATTGTGTATATTACAGTTATGTGGCTTAGTCAGTAGCCTGTACTTTGCAGAACCTTGCTTCCATAACAACCTTACAGAAAACCTCTCAATCACAAGCAAGATGTCCCTCGCTTGATACACCCATCTGGAGATCATTCGCCACATCCTGCACCCATCTTATCTTTGGCCTTCCTCTTCCTCTCTTACCAGGCATATACTCGCTCTATACTTTGTGACTTTTCAAGTGACCAAAATATTTCAATTTTCTGTGTTTTATTGTTTTTAATAGCCAACCTTCTTCAATATTCAGTTCTTGATGTATAAATGCATTTGTTCTTTTCTTTACCCATGATATTCTTAGAACCAATCTATAACACTTGTATTCAAATGCATTTATGTGCTATTCAGTTTGTTTAGTAATTGTCTAGCACAGAGTTGAGTGAAAATCGTTTCACAATGCAATCCTCTACATTTACAGGGATGCTATTTTCACGATGCAGGTTTTGGTGCAAATGGCAAATAGCTACTGAGTTTTATTTTGTATTAGACAGAGCTCTTATCTAGGATTATTTTAGCCACACAAAAAAAAAAAAAAAAAAAAATTATATTATATTGGTGAGAAATAGAAGATTCTTGGGGTTTTGTGTGTGTGGCAAGGAATAACCTACTGCACACAAATAAGCCAGTAAAATGTATTTACACACAAAACTCAGGCTGGATTAACCCAGTCTTACACAAATGGGTATTAACCAGTTGTCTGGGAACTGTCTGAGGCAGAAAAGTGACCAGGAAGGGAAAGGGATCCCATCTACTTTTTGTGACTTGGCCAAAAATTTGTAAAGGTTGAACACTTCACATCTCAGTAGAAACATCTGTCACTATATTATTTGTACCTGGTTCCTTGTCATGTGGGTGCATTAAACAAGTTTATATACTGTTAAGAACTTTTCCAGTGTCCTCATATGGCCACCGCAAGGGAAAAGAAAAGGGGAAAGACTGAGAGTGACTCTGCATAGAACCATCATCGGGAAGGATCAACCATGGGCCTAATAAACAGACATGGAGAGCTATGACCTCTGCCCTATGCACCACCCTAGGCTCAAGAAAAAAAAAACTAACTGTTTAAAAAAAAAAGTATAGCCATCTTATGATGATGTACAATGTACAATAATGGAGATTGTTCTCCTTTCAATTTGGTGCAAAAATGCTAAACATTTCATTATGTTAAATAGTTGTGAGGCTATGAAATTTGTGTGAGAAGAATATTGCTGTCAGAAGTAAAAAGATTCTTCAGTTGCCCTTTAAACTACAGCCAAATGATGATGATGTCAAACAAGATAACAGTTTTTATTTGTGATATTTGTTCTCCATTCAATCTGGTGCAAAAACAAAATATGAGTTTATGTTAAATAGTTGTGATGCTATGATATTTTTAACAGATACTAAAATGTGTTGTATCTGAACAATTTGCAAGGGTTAGCGAGCTTGGTAGTTAGTGGGTTAAGGAACAGTCTTCAGTTATAGTCTCAAGTAAGTACCAGATCGTGTAACAGTCTGCTGTGATGGTAAACAATGAGTCTGCTGAAAAGAGATCAAAGAAACTTGGAATAAATTTTGTGGAGAAAAGGAATTGGGAATGAATATGGTCTAGAAGTTCTTGGTAAAAGCCAGTCAAAACATAAGCTGTAGCAAACACCTGCAATCCTTTAATTTAAAAAAAATCAAAGAAAGAAAAAGCAAAAAAGCAGTCATAATTAATAGCAAAACTAAAGCTGTTAAAGTTATAGCTCATTAAATAGACACAAGATAAAAAGAAAGTTATCAGGCAAATCGGGAAAAAAAAAAGGGGGGGGGGGGGGGGGGATATTTAGATTTAGCACAAGAAGTGAAGGCAGCAGCAAAAGGAAACCTCTGAAACCTTTACAGTTTCACAGGCAAGTTATTGAATAAAACTGAATCAAATGAATTCAAGCGCAAGTTCTCACCAAAACTAAAGATCAGACAGATGGGCTGAATACTTTGAAGCACTTCTGAACAGACCAACCTAAAGGTCCCACTAGACATCCAGTTTTTGGAATTCAAAACTGGACATCAACTGATTTAAATCTAAAGAGAAAATTTGGAAAATATCAATCACCTAACGGAAGGGAAGCTACAGGTCAATGTAAAATCTCTCAAAGAAGTCACTAAGGAAGTCACTTTTAACTTGAATTCAGCAATGTACGAAAATCTTAGAGACATGGGCAAAATGTAACCTAATGAAACAAGTGCAAACAATCAGCCCAAAGAGAAGGGTAAAAACTATTACAGCAAGGAATGTTATAAATTGTTATTTTATTTTATGTCACCTCTGAACCCGCATTCCCACATGAGGCCCTACATGGGACATTTTCTAACAAATCATTTGGTAAAAATCTACTACCATTGTATAATACGCTTACTGTTTTTAGACCCTACATTTTTGGAAAAACAAGTGCATCTTTTGCTTGGGGAAATATGGTATGTAGGATTATCTAGGAAAGACTGATAAGCAGCTAAGAGATGAACATGCAGGTTTCATTCACAGAGTTCCTGTCCTGATCTAAAAACCTGACAAGGAAAAGAAAGAAAAACATAATGACAATAAATCAGGTAAACAGTAATCTAACTGAACTTGGTGATTTCCCAATCTAAGATGTGAAGTCATACATTTATTTAGGCAGTGATGTAGATACGAACAGAGAACGTGATAGAAATATTAAAAAAGAATACAATACAAAAAGTAAGTGGAGTTGTCACAGCACTGGGAAATTTGTGCTATATGGTGTTAAAACTAATAGTAAACTTAACATTTTTAACCCTTAAGTCAAATCAGCACTGCTGTAAGAAGTCAAAGCATGCAGGACAACCAAAAAATTTACTAATTAACTCCAAAACAATCATTAGCCATGAGATGCCAAAAAGACTAAATCTAGTTACTTCCAGCTGTGACAGTTCCATAAATGTGAATGTATAGTTATTTCTGCAGTGATCTGTTCTCAATAAGCTTATTTTAATTCCACTGGTTCTATGTGCACCTGTAAAGTGTTTATAGGACATGGATATGAATATATTACCTAAAATTTTCATTTATACAGGTTTTATTATGACCCCAATGGCTTTTTTAAAGCCATGGTCCTCGTCACAACGCTTAACTGCAGTAGTGGAAATTGAGGATGATGATGATGATGCAAGGACTGTCAGTAAGTCATATTTAAATCTTTTTTTAAACCTTTATAAAACTAAAACTCACTATGAACATCCTCTATGGTGAATTATAGATGGGTAGAAGATGTTGACGCTGACCTCTACTACAATATAAAAATGTGTGTGCACAGGACATGAATGATACAGGCAGTTAGGTGGATTTGTTGGAACAAAATGTCATGGACCATGTTGCGTGGAGGAGGCAAATCAGGAAAGGATTGAGAATGAAACCAAAAACTATTGCAGAAAGGATGAGAGCTGAGCGTCTGAGAAGAAACACACAAAATACAACTGGTGGCAACAATGGTCCTAACATCCAAATTGTGAAAGATTTAATAAAAAAGGTCTTGCTGGTCACACTGACCATCGTGATGGGCTGTAAATCCCAACCCTCCTCACAGCACAATATAACACTATCGTATGGAAAGATGGACAAATGCCAACAACAAAACCAAACACAGCAATGTGCTGGTTTTTAACTAGTAGTATAGTAACAGTAGTATGCCAGGGACCATGAAGTTGTGTCGCTGTGTCCAATAGGGGAGTGACAGACTGCCACAAAATTCTATTATAGTGAGGCTGGTTTTCACAGAAATCTACTATCTATAGCTTGCTAAGTTTGTCCTCTTGTAAAGCGCAGCAGTCTGCCTTTCCTGTCTGCTTTCATAGAAGTCGGTCTGCAGCTGATCTGTCCCATGTGTCTGTGTCAACAACACATTAAGACAAACAGAGAAATTTAAGTATTTGGGAGCAATTTTCAAATCTGACAGAAAACTGGACAGAGAAATTAGCTCGAGATGTGCCAAAGCTAATCAAGTAATGGGGCAACTATCTCCCCTGTTGACACACAAGCAGATACTCAGAGTACTAAAGTGCATCTTATCAGAACTATTTTTTGGGGCCAACACTAAGCTATTAGTGCCAAACATGGACACTTACATCCTCCAATGAATGTAAAATTGTGACAACACAGAGGAAATGCCTTAGAACTGCAGGAGTTTCAAGGAAAGACAGAATATGAAAACACTATCAGATGAATGCTAGGAATAAAGCCAGTCTTACAGGTCATCAAAGAACAACAAATGAAGTGATTTGGACACCTAAAAAGAATGCCCTGGTACTATCTGCCACAGTGAGCCACACTAAAATGTGACAACGGGTATAGAGCGAGTTGAAGATCTCAGAAAAAAAAATGAATTGATGGCATTAAGAACAGTCTTACACAAATGAACATCAGTCTTAGTAGTGCTCTTGACAGAGCTCATCAACGAATATTAATCTCCCCCTGACACTTTGATGAGGTACAAAGTGAAAGAGAAGAAGAAGAAGAAGTTAGAAGAAGGGAAAAACCCAGGTCACAATGCTTTGACGTAAATATTGCAGATAAACTATAAATTAGGGTGGGACTGAAAAAAGGTTTAAAAAAAAATCAAATACACATATTACATATTTGAATTTTTTAAATGTCTTACCTGTGACCAACCAATATTATGGGTGGCGGATTATCTTTGTACAAACTAGAAATAATTTTTCCAACATCACTGAAAGGAAAAAAAAATGTGTGTAATTATTTCTGTTATTACATATAAATATGTGTTTATACATTATGTTGTAGAGCTGAGCTGAGTAAGAGGAGGTCCTACTATCCTGAGGCACAACAGTGCATAAATTGTAAATAATAGGAGAGATGACAAATTGATGATCTTCATATGACTGAGAGAATCCTTTAAGTTTTTAAAGGGTTAGGAAATTATAGGGAAGAAAATCCTTTATCACCTTTAAGAGAAGTAGTATCTGGAAGTAAATGTTCTTGTAAATATTCATGGAAACCATGAACTGTTTCTCTCTGAAGTTTTGAACAACGGATCAACATCATGGCACATGGTAGTAACCCATAAGTGCTTCTTCTACTTAAATCTGAGCCCGAAGAAGTTCAGCACAGTGCACAGGCTCTGTAGCACCAGCGAGGATCCTGAAATACTTTGGGTAGATTTTTAACTCCAAACTTCGCCCGAGCAGCACCGTTAAGCTACTCTTATAGATTTCCAAATGCCAAGGGATATTTATGTGCACAACCATGCATACGGGCGTCCAATCTCACTACTAAGAGACCAGGTGGAATTACTAGTAGTCCAAGTCCGCATTCTTCTTCTTTGTTCACCGGCTGTGAATTCCGGCGGAAGGTCCTGGTTGATCGTCCGCTTGGACTTTTGGCTTTTACCTGGACCTGAGTTTTGCGTGTACAACCATTTTGCTGTTCCCTGCCTCATGGGCAACTGTACTCCGACTTCGAGGAAAGACGTCAAGCCTATTTCTAGGATGACTGTGGCCATTGTTTTGTGTGGGTCAAACGTTGCCTGATTTGTGTGGTGTCCTCTTTGTCGCCCTCTCCGCAGGTTTTGCCCCCGGAGTACCCCTTTGGGGCAGCCCCTTGTAGAACGGTTGGCCCTCAAGGGAAGGCAGGGGCAGATCATGGGCATTTCCCGCCATCCAAGGAGGCTTCCATGTATGCAGAGCCGGCACATGGCGCTCTGGTTCTGGGCTCACCCAAGGAATCGGCACGTCCTGCACATGCCTGCTTAACCTCACAACCGTATTAGGCCTCTCGCTCAACAAGGGCTGCGCCCTCTGGAAGTCAGCGGGGAGCAGCCCGCGGGTTCTGAACTTTTGTGACCACACGAATAGGTACATTCTTTTTCTTCGCACGTTAGATTTCTTTGACGAGCCGTTAGCCCGACAGAATTTAACATCCTGCATCAGGCATATGGTTATCAGTTTGGTCCCAACACTCGGGCAAGTGGGGTCTTTGGGTGTGGACATTTGGACTTTTTCTGTTCAATACAATTTGTGATGGTCGGATTTTGAGCTTACTCATGTGCCGTAGGATCTTGTTTTGTCGGACATTTAGGCTTAGCCATCTTGTAGGCTGTTGCTGTTGTGGTGTTCCTCAGCGCGGTGACGACAACACTGAGAGGATGTACATAGGTAGAGTCTTGCTGCGAGACGCCACCCACAGGAGATGTTACTCGTCTGTGCTGCTGGTAAATCTCTAGGTCAAGGGTTGAGTCTCAGCAGAACAATGTTCTCTTCACTCCGCAGTCTTTTAACCAAGGGTTGTAATTTTAGCTGTACATTAGGCAAGCACTTTACTCATGTTCCTAATGAGTTTTGATAACCTTTTTCACCCATGCGTTTGGGGGCGGGCTGATGAGAGCCACAAGGACACATCACCTCTGGGGGCCGCCAACTCCGAGATCCCCTGACAGCTCTGTTAATGCTCATTTAAGACATTATCCGTGGCGCACGACGAGGACGTGCTGCAGGGGTCTTGCATGAGGTTCCGTAAAACCAGAACAGTGAAGGACTGGCGCCCTAGTGACGTACGGAGTATCTCCTTATACACATCATGTTCGACTTAACTTTCCCTCACGCTTGTGACATAAATCACCGCGCCACCAAGTCTGCATTAAAAATCCCAGCCCTTACCGGGGATTGAACCCAGAACCTCTAGCACTCGAGGCGGACACCATGCCCTGAGACTATACAGCACCCTTGTTTCTCTTTAATTTGAACAACACTTGTTCACTAGTTTCCTAATTTCCATCTCACCAAATGTCAGTTTCTTTTCAGCATTTTCTGGCCAAATAAATGCTTTCTAGAAGTGTTTTTGAGGCTCTCACAAAATGCAGCTGAATTTATTGCATGGCATTGTTTTTCATGGAGCTCATTTTAAATGTTGAATTAGGAATCAACATCACAGAACTCGGGACACTCCGCCAAGTGCTCAGTCCCCATCTTCAGCAAGCAAAGAGTTTCAATTCTAATAGTACCAGTAGCTGTTTGACTGTATATCCATCTCATTCTTCCCCTGAGTGTTGAGCGTCAGCCAGATCCCTTGGTAACTTCTTACACCGTAATGATCTATATGCGCCTCCGCACTGTTCACCCCCTCCCAAAGGACCCTCACAATATCTCATTCGTCATACATCAATTCCCTACCAAGTGGTGCAGAGCCAGCCAGTCTATCTGCCTGCTCATTTCCCAACACACTGGCATAACCTGGAGAAAATATCTAAAGGATGCTAACTACCAGGGACCTCTGAAGTAATGCTTGCCACTCTGCACAAAGCATGCCTGTTTTCACCTTTCTCAAAATGCTCTGTGAGTCAGTTACAATCACGGCATATGTGTACTGCTGATTCTCAAGCCAGCGGCAGGCAGCAGAGATTGCATCCACCTCCATTCTCTAACTAGACTTTGTGATATCATTTGCAAGGCTTTGCTGCACTAGGTGACGTCCATTCGCATTTGCTATGAAACCCCATACACATCGTCTGCCCCTCAACACAGAGCCATCTGGAGATATAATTACATCGCTTGGGTGGGAATTGCCATGAATCATTTGTTGAACTTCTGATTCTGCAGCACCAGCTGGCCAGTCTCTGCACTCACGACCTAAAGTGATTAGAACCCTACACAAGTCGGAAACTTGTTCGAACACCTTGACTGGCTACTCTCATTCAAAATTAACAAGCCTGCACACATGTCTGATTGTGTCTTTTTGTGTCTTCAGCTTGCGCCATCTAAAACCTACCTCTTTTCAGTCTGTGACCCTTAGCTCTACTCAAGGTTTCATGCAGGAGGTGCTTCTTGACTGCAGCTACTCTGAGAAATTTCCTGCAGAACTTTGAGCCTGTCTGCAATAGTAGGCAGTGCCAGTATATATCGCATACATACTAATGGGGTATCTCTTGTACATCCCAGAATTACCCACATGGTTTCATTCTGTGTGTGTTCAAGTTTCATCAGCTGACTCTTTGATTTGGTAAGCATTCCGAGTCCATAATCTATCCCCAACAGCATCCCATGAGGATGTTAGCTTTAGAAATAATGACTGCGCATGGCATTTGGTCAGCCCATGATTGCCTAGGACACTCAATTTAGTGTCCAGCACTGCCGACTGGGTAACAAACACCAAATCTAGAGCCGTGTCTGCATCACCAGGTCTTGTTGCCATTCTAGTTGGCCTACCATCGTTTATACAGACTACATCTGCATCAACCATAGCCTCTGAGAAAACATTTTGTTGCATGCTGAATTCATTGTGCTGGTCAGATGCGTGATCATCTGCGCCAGTCATAATAGCACTGGATGATAATGGTAACAGGGATGAGGGCAGAAGGTGCGCAAGGCTAAATTGAGAGACAGGGGTTTCTTGTGATTAGCTGGTGACACAACTGACACAATCGGCACGGGTATTTTGAGATGCATGTGTGACTAGCGCTGAGCTGAAGGTTGGCCTATGGGTCCAATTAGCATCTCTCAGTCATACAAATTGGGCGGACGCATGTCCAGATGTCGGAATTGTGATCAGTAATTATGTGAATCCTTTTAGTCCAATGAAAGTTTAGTTTGTTCATAAGAATTTGGTGTATGAATCGAAATGCTCCTGTTGCATTTATTTTGTGGAGACAAGGCCTTGAGAGCCCAACATGTTAGTTAGTTAGTTGGGTTATCATCTTTGCACTCCGGACATGTCCATAGGTGATCAGATCCTACCCTCAGTATGAACCCCAACGTCCGATGGCTACAAGTACCAGTTCTATGTTGGTTAACAAGTCTTCTGGCGTGTCTGGTGTGCGTCTCGTTTTTTGCTATGCCGATCTTAATTCCCGAGTCTGCCATTTTGGCAAGTGACGTGGATTCACTGCCTCCAAAGTCCTCTATCCTTCTCATTTCTCTGAGGGCATTAATAACATCAGCATGATCCGTAGGCTGACCGTCAGTAATGATAGAGGATCCAGCCAACCTATCAGCTCTTTCATTTCCATCGACACCTGCGTCTCCCGGAACAAAAATAAAGGTGACTCCAGGCACAGTGGACTTCTGTAATGATTCAAGCCATAGTCCTCGCACCGAACGTGCCTGAACCCTCCGGATCATACTCATTAAATCACTAAGTACACATACGCAGGTGTTTCGAGCCAGGCGAACGCTTGCGTCACTGCCATCCCTCCATTGTCATGCTGCTGGTTTTCATGGAGAAGGCACCGTTGGCTTCTTTGACTGTTCTACCCGCTGAGCGTGTTGTGAATGCCCATGCGCTTCTTTTTTACGTATAACAGATTCTTCTACGTAGATTAGTGCATCTGCTTCGTCTGAATTTTCACTGATGAGAGCGTTGACCTCTGCATTAACAGCAACAGGATTCTCTTGTCTACTTAGCCAGTTGAGTTTGGCAATACAGGAAAATGTTCAAATAAACGCATGAGGCACAGGTATCCACTCTGCACCAGGGATTATGTCAGTTAGGCTGCATATTTGCTTGATAACATCTTCTGCCCGACCTAGCCATAATTTTCCCCTCTTTAGCCTGTCGTCCTTTTCACTAAAAAGCGCTTGATGCAGTGGGTGTTTCTTATCAGCACATATTTTAAGGTATGCCCGAACCCTCCAGATCCTGATCTTTTGGTTCATAGCTGGAAAGTCAAGTAGATACTTCATTGCTCCACAGGATGTGTCTCTTGTACATCCAAAAATAATGCGCATGGCTTTTTTGCACCTTTTCGAGTCGTTCAATCTGGGTAGCACTGACAGTGAGGATGGCCAGAGCGTATTCAATGGGGGAAAGAACCAAATTGTAGAATAGAAGTATTAGTAGTCTCTGCTCGATATTGGAAGCAGCCATAATCCTCATTGCAGATAGATCTTTGCCCAACATGTTATTTGCCACTATGATTGACAGTCGGGCAGTGATTTGTGGCCTAACTGTGAGGACGTGATCTTGTCCCTTGTCAGGATTCTTATTCGACTGAGTGTTGGGAGACTTGGTGAGCCTGGGGCAGAGTCTCTAGTCAGTTATTATGTATAGGTTATTGGTGACCCAAAGTGTCAGCACATAACCGAAGCATGGGCCAGTAGGCCGAAGGCGTATGTTGTGACTCACGTCAAGTCAAGGCTAGGTGTTCCCTTTCATGTGACACCGCCTTAGAAGCATATTGGTGTGTATAGGTGGAGCATTACATGGACAGTCGTCCTGTATCACCAGTTCATTTTCATCATCATACTGTGTTTTGTCCCAATAAATAGACTGATGCAGGATTATAGAGATGTCTCTTCCTGTTTGTTGATGTGGTTGGCTGTTGACTGTTATCAGTGTTAGTGGTACGATGTGACTATGTGAACTGTGTTAATTTAGCACTCTCAGGTAGGGAACCCAATTAGTCGCCAGAAGGTCGGCTTGGGGAACTTTTGCGCATATGAGTGAGGCATAATCATTCAACCTTAGACACTTGGCCAGTGTGTGATGCCTCTAAACAATGTTACAAGTGTGTGATAGATTGGCATGGTTATCAGATCGCAACACATTTCCTTGTCTGTTTTCCCCAGTAATGTCCCATACTCTGAAGAGGCAATGGATGTCCTGACGGAGTTCATATGCCTGGTGCCGCCACATCCGCCAACAAGATGTTCCACTAAGACCATCAGGTGGGTTGCCTCTATGAACTCGTATGTCAGCTGCAGGTCCTTCACAGTTCCCGATAGCTTGCTCTGCACATTTTTCTTTTGAGGCCAAGTTTCTTTTCGAAGTTGTAGGTAGAGTGGGTAGGTCTGCAGAATGTGCTCAGGTGTTTGTGGTTCTGTTTGACAAGTTCAGTGTGGGGACTGTAGTCTTTTATTTTATGCATGTAGTAGTTAAGCCCGCAGTGTTCTGTTCATAGACGAAAAATTGTTGTACATTGCTTTCTGTTGAGTCTGCTGATATGGTCTTATGGATGTTTACTGTTGATTTGTACTCTCCACAATCCCTTGTATTTTTCCTTGATAAGTGTTTTGATTTTTGGTGTTGAATAGGTGTGTTGTTTCTCCTTTGTTCCATTTTTTGCAAGTCTCTCCACTAATTCACTTCCTGGTATGCCGCAGTGAGCATTTTTCCACTGGAAAAATATCTGATTGTTTTCTGAGTCTTTTTAGCTGGCGGGTCAGTTCTCTGACCATGTTGTCTCATGGATCCCTTTTAGTCACCTGGAGGACTGACATGCAGTCACACAGGATAACAGTTTTGCTGTTCTAATAATTCCTATAGTTATATCTGACTGGTCACTATCAAGACGGTGTCATCAGCATAATGCATGTTGTTTATGTTATGACCACCAACCACAATTCCTGGCATATCCATGATACTCTTATTATATATTCACTGTACAATGAAAACAAATCAGGTGATACATGTAGTACACATCCTTGTCCTACTACCCTCTTTATGCTCTGAAATATTCCCCAATGGTTATAAATTCTCATAGCTTCTGTTTGCTGCCAACGCATATTCTTTATAATTCGTAAATCTTTTTCATCAATGTTCAACTTTTTCCATTAGTTTGATTATTTCTTCATGTTTCACACAATCAAATGCTATCATTTAGTCAAGAAATATAACACACTTTTTCTTAATGATTTCAGCCTGGGTTATGTGTTACACATTATAAAACATCAATGCCTATTTCTGTCACTTATTATTAGCAGCTAATTAAAAATATATACTCCCATAACTACTATAGACAAATGTTGACAACAATGGTCCAGAAATCCCATGCTATCATTGTGGAAGACTTTTCTTGACACGGGCGGGTCTTGCTAGTCACACTCGTCATCGCCATGGTCTCGTGCCTCCTCATAGCGCAATATAACACTATCATCTGGAAAGACGGAAAGGTACCAATAAATGATACAGATGGGCCTAAATTTATACTCCATTTTGCATATATAATCGAAGACATGACAAAACGTTTTGACCAAAAAACAACCTGTTGTTCCTTTGACCAGAATGACTACATGTTTAAGTTAGGATGGCTTATTCTTTATAACAAATTATACAAACCTTGACATTTTCTCTGCACTCAGATTACTGTCATCAGATGTTACAGAATCACCTGGTAAAAATTGGCAACAACAGCACACAGCAATAAATTAAAATATGTCCAGTAGAATTCAGTATTAAGAAAGTGGCAAAATAATCCCCGATCAAAATAATTCTAAAATTGATGAATACATGAAACTACATTTTATCATGTCATGTCAGTAAATATGAGTGATCACAGTTCACCGTCTCATATAATCAGAATCATGGTCAGATCTGCATTCTTGTTACGCCCAAGCCATGTAGCCAAGTCATCCAGGTAATTATCTCTTTGATGCTATGTATCAGAACCTTCTTGCCCTCCTTGTTGACAGTAACCACATTAGTAAAGGTGATTCTCTGCCCACCTCTGCCCACCAGTGAGGAACTGTGGGCCATGAGCAGCAGACATCTGCTGGCTGCTCTCAAGCTCAGTTCACCACCAGTATCCACTGTTTTATGCTACACTGAATGAGAGGCTAAGAAGGCACTCCATCTTGCCAAATGGAAACTGTTTCATCCATCACAGCTCTCTCCAGGCCACCATAACATTTAACATGGCCTCTCTGATCACTAGTTTTTTTTTTTTAAACTAGAACAGTAGATGCTATGATAATTCTTTCTTTAGATATATTTGTTTTTTAAAATGGTAGCTTATTCATTTTTTATTTATTTTTTTAATTTTATATTTTTAACTATTGAAGGATTTGAAATGTGTAAACATGCACAATGGTTCTCAATGTTTGTGGCACTTGTGCAAGAATAACAGGCATCTTATCAACTGTCTTGTAATTACTGGGGAAAAATCTATAGAGTCCTTATTGTGTAAACATCTACAGCATGACTTGTACCATGTCTTCTTTAGTTTAATTCTGTGACACTCTGATCCTAAAATGTAAAGTCCTTTGCCTGCTTCAACTGATGTATATCAATTTTGATGTTGGTGGTTCTTCCTTTTCTGGCGAATGTCATCATTTCCATTTTGTCTTCATATAATAGTTGTTGTATGCTGAGTGAAGTCTATTAATATGTTCTTGTAGTAGTACTGCTGATGGTGCTATGATTGCCTGGTCATTGGCGAATCCATTTAATAATTCTTCAATGCTGTCTACTTCATGGGTTTTAGCTGATTTGCACATCTGACCAATGTATGTGACTAATAGTAGTGGTGATAAAACACACCCTGTTTCACTCCAGATCTAATGTCTGGGACTCTGGTTGTCAGTAAAGAGGAGCTTGAGTCACATTTACGCAAAATGTACTTTGACAAGAAGAGGAATGAGCCTCTCGATAACAATCCAGAGATCCTTAGCGGCCTTAAGCAGCTAGAGTTGCCGAAGGTATCATTTAAAGTGATACCTCCCTCTTGGTCTGAGGTCGAGAAAGTTGTGAAAAGAGCCAGCGGCAAGTCTGCTCCAGGTCCGAATGGTGTTCCGTACATCATGTACAAGCATTGTCCGAAAGTCCTAGGAATGCTTCACCGCCTCCTGAGGTTAGAGTGGAGCTGAAAACACATATGTCCGGAGTGGCAACAGGCCAACAGGGTCTACATTCCCAAAGAGCAGGACTTGAAGAGTCTCTCCCAATTCAGGCCCATCTCGTTGTTGAATGTTGAGGGCAAAATATTCTTCTCAGTCATGGCTCGCCGGCTCACACAGTATCTGATGGCGAACAAGTACATCGATACAAGTGTTCAGAAAGATGGAATCCCGGGCGTCCCTGGGTGCCTTGAACACGCGACCATGATTTGGGAGTCTATTCAGAGAGCCAAGCATGAGAGAACTGAATTGCACTTATATGGTTGGACCTCACCAACGCCTATGGGGCAGTTCCCCATAGGCTACTATGGCAGGCCTTTCGCATGTTCCATGTACCGACACAGATCAATGAGATGATCGAGCAATATTTCTCTAAGTTCACTTTGTGCTTCTCTACCTCAATGTTTACTACGAGTTGGACTGAGCTCCAAGCTGGGATAGCTGGGTTGTATGATCTCACCAATACTGTTCGTCATGGTCATGCAGGTCATGTTAGACGGGGCGGCGGCTACGAACAAGGCCTTCAAATTGGGGACCACTGGATGCCGCCACTACATGCATTTATGGATGACGACTATAATCTCGGGCAGTGAGGAATCTGCTCGCACGATTCTGAAAAGATTGGACGCGGTGGTCCAATGGAGCAGTATGCAATTCAAACAGCAGAAATCGAGGAGTCTGTCAATCCTAAAAGGTAAGGTAGCGGCAACCAGTTTTACGGTGGCAAGGAATCGGATCCCCGTGGTTCTAGAGGAACCGGTGAAGAGCCTTGGTCGCGTTTACGATTCAAAGTTATCTGTCAGAGCGGAGGTCCGGCGAATACACGAGTCACTGGCTACAGGCCTGCTCGCGATCGAGCGAAGCAGGCTGATCGGAAAGTTCAAGGTTTGGTGTCTCCAATTTATGTTGATTCCAAAGCTCCTCTGGCCGCTGCTAGTCTACGAAGTGACGATGACTGCAGAGGAGATGATGGAGCGAAAAATCAACACATCCATGAGGAAATTATTGGGAGCACTGCCTTGTCTGACTGACGTGACTCTGTATTGTAAGCAGGCAAAGCTGGTACTCCCGTTCAAATCAATAACCGAAGAGTTTAAAGTCAGCAAAGTAAGACTCGCCATGCTCTTGCGTGAGTCTTCAGACCCAAGTGTCACCGCTGTCTAGTCGCTCTAAGGACTGGCGTCAAGTGGAGAGTCCTCGATGCGATCGAATCTGCCCAGAATGCACAAAATTGAAGGAAATTATGGGTTACACTCAAACCGACCGTCGAGGCCTAGGTCACGGGAAAGTCAGTTGGTGGTCCAAAGCCACAGCCAAAGAGCGCCGAGACATGGTGATACAGCGTATCAGAGATAACGGAAACGAGGTTAGGGTTCAGAAAGCAGCCCAACAGTCGCAGCAGGGTCAGTGGATCAGCTTAGAGAGCGCTTTGCCACGAGTACTCACATGGGGTGAGATCTGGCGAATGGCCCCGCTGCGAATGAGCTTTATCGTTCGTTCTGCCTACGATGTATTACCGTCTGGTTCAACACGGTAAAGTGGAGTGCGGCTAACGACCCGACATGCCCGCTATGCAAAGCGAACAAACGCTAGAACATGTACTGTCCGCGTGCAGAAAAGCCCTAGGTCAAGGCAGGTATACTTGGCGCCACAACAAGGTGCTAAAAGAGTTAGCAGCCATTGTGGACCAAGCTAGGATGAGGGCCAATGCGAGGGCCAGTCCTACCATCGTCCCTGTACGCTTCCTCAAGGCTGGGCAGATTCACAAAGGGAAATTCAACAAAGTCGCATTCGCTCCATCTGTACTAGACAGTGTGAGGGACTGATTACTGGCTGTTGACCTGCCTGGCCATGAAAAGTACCCTGGGTTAATCTGGAAGACCGGCCTGCGACCTGACATAGTTCTCCACTCTGCGGAGAAACGTCAGCTCATGAGTCGCGAATGGACAAAAGCCATATTTATAAGCTCAAGAAATACAGTGACTTAGCAGCCGGTCTGAGGAGAGGCAAAGCGTACACAGTACGAATCTTCGCCGTCAAAGTAGGCGCAAGAGATCTCGTTTCCACTTCATTTTACAATGTGATTACAAAACTAGGCTTACGAGGTAACGACTGCAAACGGACACTTACACAACTGGGCGAGGTTGCTGAGAGGGCCTCGAGCTGGCTCTCGACACAACGGACCGTCGTGGGGGATGGGCCTCGGTGAGCTGGTGCGGGTGTCTAGTGGAGAAGATTGTCTAATCCCTTCAAGTCCGTCATGTCCGAATTGTCTGCCAGTGTCCCTCTGCCACCTGCCAACAGAGTCCAACATGTGTCTGGTACACCAATCGTAAGCTTGCCACTTGGTCATTCAGGTATGCAGACTGCTTTAATTATGCTACCGCAACAACTTCTTATCTCACAGTACCTTTTGCAAAAGTCACCAGTTCGTCTTCTCCCTGTCCGAATAACATCCGGTATACAGGAGAGACCAACCCTGAGCTTCATGAACTCAGGTGGGCCCACTCTCTGAAAATGTAAAGGAGCTCGTGGGCCGAAACATTTGTCGACAAGAGGTTACTTCTACTGACGATTGGTAGACTCCTGCTGTACATGCTCCCCTGTGGAGTTTCTTCTTATAGATATAGAACTTCTCTGACATTGCTATGTTTGTTCTGACTGCACATTGAGTGTTTACGTATAAACTCTTGCACCTAATAAGATGTTCAATTACTCCATAATCCTACAGTCCCTTCCATAACTTATTCCTCTTAACACGACTGAAAACTTTCTTCTGGTCAACGAATGTGGCGCTGAATTCTAGCATTCTTTCAAATAATTGCCTCAATGTGAATACTGCTGGTCTGATCAGTACAGCACTGTTCTTCCTAAATCCTATTTTTTCTTCGCAAAGTTGTGGTTCAATGAGAGAGTGTAGCCTCTTTTCAAGAATCTGACAAAATATTTTTCAGTGTGGCTCAGTAATGAAACCCCTCTATACTTCCCAGTCTCTTTTGTTGCCTTTTTTTCTTCCAGATGGATACTATTCCAATCCTCCAGTGTCTCTTGTGTTGACCAGACTAGGTTGAAAAGTCTGTGCATCCAGTGTATGTCTAAATCTCTGGTTGCTTTGATTACCTACTTCATTATCAATTGTTGTGGCAGATTGCTGTTTCCAATATATGTTTTTTCCTAAGCCGCTCCCATTAATTTGAGAATGTGCTAGCATTTCTACAGTGTAGACACCGTTGACTGCTCTATCCTCTCCACTGAAGTAGAATGCATGTCTTTGATCAGTTGTTATTTCTCCAAACTCTTTCCACCTAGTCTCAAATAGACCAATGAGATGCCAACTAAACCTTTCCAATTCATGTTGTCACTCTGCCAGCTTGCCAGTCTGCTTTAGAGTATGGACATTCCATGTGCCAAAAATCGCTGTGTTTCTTCCACATATACACTTCCTCTCATGATCAGCAGCTTACTTTTCGTGTTCGTCCTGATCTGGGATGGATAGTGTGGTCCTTGGTAACCCGGGTGATGACCGAGCTGATGTAGAGGTATCCGATCTATTTGTCAACATCATAGTGGACAACAACCAAGAACAGGAAGGTGACAGCTTCCCAATACTCGGGGAAGAAGGGAAACTGGCCATAAAAACTCAAAATGGAAGGATCTCAGATGGGGTAATTGACAAAATCCCAGCTGAGATCCTTAAGGTGGAGGGAATGGATGTCAACATCCTCACTGAAATCTGTAACAAAATTTGGGAGAATGGCCATCTCTCTGGACCAAATCACTTATCATTACCATCCCATAAAAGGGGCATTTACAACAATGTCAAAATTATAGGACTTTAAGTCTTATCAGTCATCCCAGTAAACTCATGCTCAACATACTCCTAAACAGATTAAAGCTGCATGCAGAAAAGAAAATAGCAGAGGAACAGGCGGGTTTCTGTGCTGTTAAACAGATATTTCATCTATGTATATTATCAAAGCAATATCACCAGCACCAAAAACATCTATACTATGTGTTCATTGATTTCAAAAAGGCCTTTGATAGAGTATGGCATGCTGCAATCTGGGCTACTATAAAAAAGTACAATATAGGTAAAACTCTCATATAAAGTATAGAACAGCTTTATACCAAGGCCAGTATTACTGTCACGCTACAAAAAGGGAGCTGGTTCCGAACAGGGCTGCCTCCTCACCCAAACACTGTTTAATATTTTCTTAGAAAGAATTATGACTGACACCCTAGAACAACATCCTGGAAGAGTTAGCATAGGAGGTCGTACTACAACAAACTTAAGGTTTGCAGATGTCATCGATGGGTTGGCCGGGAAAGAAAAGAGCTACATGAGCTTGTAAATTTGTTGGATGAAATACCGACCAAGTATGGCATGCAAATAAATGCAGAAAAAAAAGTAATGACTAATAATCCAGCTGGCACTTCACCAATCTACGCTAAAGGTCACAAATTAGAACAAGTCAATCATTTCAAATATTTAGGATTTATTTTAAGTGACCTAGGGTCAAGACCAGAAACCATGTCTAGGATTGCCCATACAACATCAGTCCTTGCCAAGCAGCAAACATTACATAGATCAGGAACATTTTATGCAAAACTAAAACTTGATTGCTCAGAGCACTAACTATTAGTACATTTACATATGGCTGTGAAACGTGGATCTTAACAGCTGAACTCAAAAAGAAGATACAAGAATAAGCAATGTGACATTTCAGAAAAATTCTTGGCATATCACAGAGACCACATTACAAACGAAGAAGTTCGGCATATAATTATACAGCACATTGGCAACTATGAATCTCTTTTAACTACAGTCAAAAGGCAAAAAAGAGAGAGACGGATATACAGAAAGTTGCTGGTACCATCGGAATCGAAACTTGTCGCTTGCTGCTGCTGATGGGAAAGGAGCGTTTATGGGTGTGTCCTGAGTGCTATAATGTTGATTCTTAATTCAATATTCAACACTGATCTGTCAAGTCCACAACTTTCCCCAATGCTTCTCTTTTCATCATATGACAAAAGACCATTGTCTGACTCTTTCTGGTTGTTGCCCATAAGGTTACTGTTTCATTAGTTTTTTCCCAGGCAATTGTTGTTAGCGACTCTGGTAGGTATTTGGAACATTTTTCTCAAAAATGACACCTCTACTAGGCCTTACCAATTTCTCCATCCATGTTTAAAGAAATAAGTTTCCAAAGCCTTTAGAAACAAATTTGGTTCAACAAGTGAGGTTCCACTGTTCACCTAGTGTAACCTGATAAAATAAAATATCTTACCGTGACCTCTCAAATCAACAGCAACACACCTACACTTTACAAGTGCTGTCACATGAGTCTGTAAAATAATAAAATTAAGGAAGTGGAAAAATGTCTAGGGAAACAACTTAAAATATCAAAATAAGGAATGTCAAACGAGATGGGAAAAAATATTTTGTGATAAAAAGAGGACTTCAACAGTTTACTTAAATATCAAAAAACTGACTTTTCATTATAAGCAAATTTTCAGATCTATGTGACACATGCCAATCCAATAGATATTTTCTTTGCTTATTCTAAGCAATGTATGCAGTATTTCTTCAGCTCTGCAGTTAATTTCATGTTTAAACTGTCTTCCATTTCCTTATTAAGAGACACCTGGACCTATCTTTGGTGTGCTATACATTCACAGTTGTAGTATCCACAGTATTAAATGCTATATCAAACTACTGTTTGCATGAGTCATTATTCAACCTCAGTTAATATGAAAAAATCTTCAGTTGTAGCTATGTTTACAACATGCCAAGCAACTATGTGTCAGTAACACAATAATTCAATAAAATGGTTTGGCCATCTAGTGAGAATGCAGCCAGACCAAACTGCATATGAGACTTTCTACTGCAGGACATCTGGGACAAGGTGAAGGGAAGACCAAAACAGAGATGGATAAATGGTATAGCTGAAACTTGAAAAATGTTGAATAAATGCATCCCCTAAGAAGCGCAAGACAAATACAAAAACAAAACCATGACATTATGCTAAAATCTGGGAGATGACAAAAGTTTAAGAGAAGAACTTAACACAGCAAAAACTATAACTAGAAGGATTGATGGAGAAAAGGGGTAGGTGCACACAAACACATATGAACATATTTTCTCTCTGTAAAGCGGTCTAGGCATACTTTGTGTTAATGTTTGCACTCGAGAACCTGATTATCTGGCTTCACCCTCCATTACAGGTCTCCAAGAAGCCATTTAACCTGCTTTGCTGCACTGACTAGTTGACTAAGACTGCTGACAATTCTAGTCAATGGCACTGATTTTGTTTGTGCCTGCACAGTGTTTAGAGGGGTTAGATATGATTATATTTTATTTAAAAAAAAGCACTTTTTATTTGCAAAAAAATGGGGGGTGGGCAGTTGTAAACTCCAGCAGTAAGTCCTAACTGTTTGCCTACTTCTGGACTTAAGTCTTGTTGCTGGACTTTTAATTTTGCATGCACATCTGTTTTATAGACTTGACTCTGTGTGCAGACTGTTGGTTCCTTGCCACTCAGGCTGAAGCACTCTAACTTCAGAGGAAAGCTCTGTACTGATTACTCCCCTTAATTTTTCAACTGCATTTTTTATAAATTAGGTAAAATAAAACAAAATTCTTTGTATACATACATAGTGAATAATCTGTTGTGTGAACAAATGATACAAAACATCTTCTACCCATCTTTAATTCTTTCTTCTCCTTCTTTCTGTCCTCTACTCCTGGAATGCCTCGCAGCATCAGGGAAAGAAAAGATCTCTAGAACTGGCCCTTCTGTTTGCTTCATATATAGTACTTTTCATTGTCTCTGACATTTCTGCGGTCCAGGCTCTGGTCGACCTCTGGGTCTGTAACCGCTGTATCTGTATAACATTGCTCTTTGTGGTGCTCCATCTGCTGCCAATCTTGTTACATGGCCAAAACATTTGATTTGTTGCCGACTTCTGGGTCTGTAACCATTGAATCTGTATAGCATTACTCTCTGTGGTGCTCTGTTTGCTGCGAATCTCGTTACATGGTCAAATCATTTGATTTGTTGTCTACCTAGAAAGTTTAGTATTGGGTCTGTGATGATTCTTCTCCTGATATCATCGTTCCTAAGACGATCTTTCCTCGTTACACCTAGCACAGTACACAAATATTTCATTTCTGTTGTGACTATTTTCCTTCTGTCTTTTGAAGACAGTGTCCATGTTTGACATTGTTAGCAAAGCGTAGATGAGAATACTGAGTTAAATAGTTTTCTTTTAGTGTTCATATTCACAAGCCTGCATTTAAAAATTGGTGCTGTAATTCACCATAGAGAATGTCCTCAGGGACTCTGCCATCCTCCATCTCCAGGTGTGACCCAGCCAGTTGAGCCTTCATATATTGAGCATTGAGAAAATTCTTGTAACACATGCTCTTTCCAAAACCTCAGTGTTTGTGATCTTGTCCTGCCACTTAATTCCAAGTATTCTTCTTAGGCGTTTAGGCATTGCATCTGAAAGCTAATTAGCTGTTTATGCTGGTGCACATAAGCTGACCAAGTTTCTCTGCAATAAAGTGAGTGCTGAGTTCTCCCAACCACACTACATTTCACATAGCTAAAGCATTGCTACTGTTTACCTACAATACCCCTTACACTCACATAATTCAAGCACTGCTATTGTTTAACCACACTACCATTCACATGGTTAAACCATTGCTACTGTTAGCTACACTATCCCTCACATAATCCAAGCAATGCTATTGATTAACAACACTATCTGTCACATAGTTAAAGCACTGCTATTGTTTAACCACACTACCCTTCACATAGTCAAAGCATTGCTATTCTTTAACTACACTATTCCTCACAGTGTCCAAGCATTTAATGATACTATTCTTAACATTATCCTATTATTTAGTCATACATACCCAGTTAAAAAAAAAGGGGCATATAGGGCTAGACTATATTTTTATAGACCAATCGGCACAAGATGGGTGATGTGATCAGCATCACGCCGGCCGCCTCTACTTCCCAGGACTGCACCCGGTACCCACTCAAGGCTGAGTCAACCTGGGAGCCAAGGTCATTTTTGAAAAAAAGTCTGGCTCCGCCAGGGAGTGAACCCACGACCTTATGATCCGCAACAGTACCGCTTGACCGTCACTAATTACTGACTACTGCAGTACCAAGAGATATTATTTAATTACACTCTCCCTCATACTATCACTTATCAATTCAGTAACACTTTCCCCTCACCCTTTCAGTACATTCTTGTAGTATTTACATCAGTATATTCTTGTTGTATTTACAGCAGTACATCCTTGTTGTGGTTAAGGCAGCATGTTCTTGCTGTATTTATAGCAGTATATACTGGTTGTATTTACAGCAGTACATTCTTGTTGTTTACATCAATATATTCTTGTATTTACAGCAGTACATTTTTGTTGTGTTTACAGTACATCACTGTTGTGTTAACAGCATGTTCTTGTTATATTTACAGCAGTACACTCTTGTATTTACAGCAGTACATTCTTATTATATTCACAGCAGTATTCTTGTTTGCATTTACATGAAACTCTGTTTGTTAATCTGCTCACTCCTGTTGCTGCCTTACCTATTCTGCTGTTGATTTCTTGGTCTAGTTTTCTTCCCAGTTACATTTCTCTTTCAAGAACTTTGAATCTGAGAAAAATGTCTTTTGCAGAATGTCACTCTCATCACAGCCTACCTAAAAGAAACTGGGTCCCTCACCAGCTATCCCACCTCATGCATTACCTACACAAGATGACCCATATGTCTTGTGCCTACCTTCATGCTGGTTAGCCGATGCTGCTCTTTTCTGGTGCCAAGCCAGTTTCACCTTTGATATTTAAAAGTAATTCAGCTTCCAAGACAAGATACTGTTTACACACCAGTTTTCTTTGATGTTTAATCTTTTAGAATGCCCTCTGACAGGATACATGAACCTCAGAGCCATGCAATACAGTCTGAGACACCACAGCAATTTTACCTGTAATCTTCATTGAATATATAAGCAAGATTACAGAACTTGAAGCAAAGGTGTGTGAAGGACACTGACATTTACAATTGTTTCCATGTGTACAGAGGATAGATAGGCTACAAACAGCTCAAGAGCAACAGCAAAGTGACAGGGTGATGTGCAAGGATCAATGCCATTATCACCTCAGACAATGCAGTGTTATATTTCAGTCTTCACATGATTTATATGTGATGCATTCTGAGATTTAACAGCAACACATTAATTTCCCTTCCAATATCAGCTCCTGTACAGCTCATCTTCAATTTTCTTAGCTAAGATTTCAAGCGTTTTTGGAAAAGTATATACTCACCTTGGTTGTGATGGTTGCCATTTGGTGCAATTTATGAGTTAACAAAAAACGAAACAAAACCTAAAAAAAATTTTTTTAATATAAAGTTGATGCATGCGTGCACACACATATACATACATACACACATGTAATTAGTTTACCGATAGCAATGCCCATGAGAGGGCTGAAAAGCCTCCACCATGAAGAAGAAATAATACTGGTCCATCGTGCCCTCTTTCATAGACCCTGAATGTCTTAACTCTTTGATAAGGGAATAACAAAGTGTGATACACAAAAATACAAACATTACAAGATTATTAATAGAATTATAATTCTTTAAAAGATGTGGGTATCAGAGGTGAAGCAGTCAAATTATTTGCTTCATGCTCTGAAGGTAATGGGTTAATTTCCTACTGTTTTTCATCTCATAATTACAGTTTTGTAACAGTATCCCAGGGGGCCATTATTGGATCTATAGAGTTTGTGCTTTGTGTGACATTTTCAGAAGGTAGCTAACCACTCTGCAGAGAGAGTGACAGAATCAGTTAAGATAAAATGCACTGAAATAAAGCTTTATTCACACCCTTTTTTTTAACAACACTGTGTACTGAAAATACTCAATGACTGCAAAAAAGATATTAAATTCAGCAGAGAAACAATGTATGGAGACTACACGTACCTAACACAGATTATGGTATAGAATATCCCCGAATGTAGTGAAATAAAAATAAAAAACTTTATAACTAGGAACAAAGAAAACAAACTGGCAAAACTTTAGATCTGTTTTCACACGATCATTGATTCCCCCACATATACATAAATATTTAAGTTAGAAAACAACAAGATTGAGAAATGCAAAACAAATAAAAACAGGACAACACAAACACTTATCATCATGAGGCAGAAAGTATGTCCTTTGTGAAACATGGCTTTCATCACAGCCTGTCAAAAAGAATACAAATCTTTCAGCACTTCTGCTGCCACAAGCATTTCATGTTCAGGGTGTCTTCCTTAATTGTGATGTTAACCCAACCTTATCTTCAATGAACCATGTGCTGCTTTTTCTAAACTACACTGATACTCAATGTGCTTACAAACAAAGATTTTCGTTTCCAAGGGATAATACTTCTCATGAATTCGTTTTTTCCTTCCAACATTCAGATCCTGTGGGTATCTGTTCAATAATTGTCTCTGTAATAGTAAGAAATAGCAATAAATCACAAGGCTAGTAAGGATACATCACCAACATCTGTTGACACGTCCAGCTTAGTGTCAAAATACTTGTCCCAGTAAACAGGTGAATAGTCCTTCCTTCTAACTATGTTGCGTTTGCTTGCTTGACTAAAAACAAAAACAAAACAAAACAGTTTTTTTTAAAAATGGGATTGGGGGGGGGGGGGGGGGGAGGAGGAAATAAACAGTGCTTAGATGTTTAAAATAATTAAAATAATTGATAATTTATATGTTATTTGAAAATGTTGTCAATGTAACCAATTCTGTGCATCTCATTCTGGTTTTATCTCTGATATTCATCACGTCTGCCATCACAAGCATTCTTAGATGTGTACATAGATTGTATGGTCCACTTCTAAAACTTTCATGCTGCAAATACAAATAATTAAAATTGTTTAGTCCATGCTAAACAAAATTGTATTCAAACCTATTAACACTCAATGTGATGTGGTTCAATACTGACTACCTTTATGATGTTACCCAGAGAAAGCTGGTTTTCTCAGTTTTACTGGTTTTTTATGGCATGATGTCTTTGGGCAGTGGCCAATATGCCCATTTAACAGCTTTGGGTACTGGTTACAATTATATAGTGTACAGATGTCGTGGGAGTGATTATATTTACCTCTACACCCCCCCCCCCCACACACACACACACACCACAAACTAAAGATGAAGCAACTTGGCTTTCTGTCGATGTGTCAGCTAATATTTTAAAATCACTTTTGCTCAAAATCATTACTCTAAATATGAAAAATCCATCTTTTTAGTGACTTGGGTTGCAATGATGCAAAAGCTAGCAGGCTTGTCTGTACACTTGATAATCACGGCTTTTAATACCTAGATTTTTATAAAGCTGATCAATGCTCAAAATTTCTTATGCTTCTTTTTCCCTTCCATTAGTTTCTTAGAGTAGAGTTTCAGAGAATTGTAACTATGTGTTTCTTTCAAATAAAAATCTGAAAAAGTAATTTTTTAAAGATTTTTAAGGGTTTGACCCTTAATTTTCCAAAATGTCCTTTTCTGTTCATACCGTGATGATCTATTTGTGCCTCTGCACTGCTCCCTGGCTCCCAAAAGGCCATAACTACAACTAGCTTGTCATGCATCAATTTAAAACCAAGTGGTGTAGAATCAGCAAGACTGTTTGCCTGTTTGCAGTTCTACATACCCTGCAGAAAATATCCAAAGGATGATAACTACTGTGGACCTCTGAAGTGGTGCCGGTCACTCTGCATGCAGCACATCTGTCTCCATCTTTCTTAACATGCTCTGTAAGTCAGTTACATTTACCACATATGTATACAGCTTGTTTTCAAGACAGCAGAAGGCTGCAATGACTGCCTGCAACTCCATTCTCAAAGTAAATGTGGTATTATTTGCCAGGGTTTGTTGCACTAAGTGAAGACCACTCGCTTCTGCTATGAACTGCCATGGGCTTCTGCTATGAACTGCCATGGACTTCTGCCTCTCAATAGAGTAACCTGTATAGATAACTATATCACCTTGGTTGGAACTGTCCTGAATCAAGTTGTTGAAATTCTGCACCTGCTGGCCCAGCCCAATGTGATTAGAACTCTATACAAAGGTATACACTGGAAAAGCAGACAGTGAGATTTCAGCATTTCTGTTTAAAGGATTCATTTTTGAGCTGTATTATATTTTGTTGTAAATTTCACAGTAATACACCTGATACCCATCTGAACAGGCTAAGTTCAACATGCAGAAGAAATAATATGAAAGTAAATGAGACTAAGACTGAAATAATGCAGGTCAGTAGAATTCCTAGTCTGCTACATATCAGGTTGAATGGTATTTGTCTAAAGCAAGTTAAAGAATTTCAATATCTAGGAAGTATATTATCTGAGGATGGGAAAATAGATCAGGAAACAGAAACAGAATGCCAATGAGACAGTGTACTTATATACCAACTTATATACCAACTGACACCGTTATTAAACCCTTTGGAGACGGAGCCTTTTTAGAGTTTCGGTGCCAAGAAGACTGAGCCTTAAGGAGGTGATTCTCATAGTTTTTACACACAAAATTAAAAAAAAATTAAGTATTTAATTAACATATAAAAAAACTATACATATTCGTGTAGGAAATTGAATGACCTAACAGAATATTTATGAATCAAACTTAAATCTCAACATTTATTCAAATTATCAATTCTGATTTGTCATAATTTATGCAAGCAGTTTTTGTAAAACTTGGAAACAAACATAACTAACCTGACAAATGTGGGTGAATATTTTTCTTTTTATGTATGAAGCTTGAATGAGTCCTAACACCTGTACTTTGGGAAGTAAGGCCTTTGGAGGCCATTTAAACACGTCTGGCACATGGTTCTACCCATTTTCCTGCCTTCAGCTTGGTTTAGGTTGCTATAACACAACAGTCCTTTTCGCCATTTTTGGGCACAGGCAACCCCAGAACAAAATTGATGTAAAATTACAGAACACATCAAACTTTCTTGAAAGCCGTCAATGAACAACCCACATGTGCAAGAAATGCAAGAAGCTGGCTGGTACGAAAACCTGCCATCCAATATCAAGGCTTTTATTGTATAGGGCTAACCGATCGGCCTAGTCGTCCTTTTGGCTACTTTGTGTTGGGCTGATATTTCAGCGGCGTCGTCTCCAAAGGGCTAAGACTCTAAATACAAGCATAAGCGCCCAAAAAAAAATTATAAACAGCTTATTCATACCAACATTGTGCTACCAGTGCCAGTCTTGGACATTATCAAAGGCTAAATATGTAAAATTAACAGCTGTGAAATAATTGCCTGAGAAAAGTGGCCAACTTAACCATCAGAGACAGTCATAAATGATGATGTCAGACAGACTATGGGAACAACACCATGCAGCAAATTTACTGAGAAACTGAAGATCAAATGGTTTGGTCTCTAGTTAGAATGCAGCAAGAACAACTACAAATGCAGATGGTACACCTGAAAAGATCTGATGTGAAACCAAGAGGTCCCTTTAGGGCAAGATGAACTGATGACATTAAAGAGCTAAACACAGAACGACAACAGCCACTGCTGCACATCTAGCACTGGATCGCAAACTGTTCCTCCTCACATGATGTTACGGCAAAAGTGGAAAATATGATGACACTTGATACAGTGAAATATCACAAAAGTTTGTCCCCTTATTATTTAAAGCCAAATAATAAATATCTAATTCCATCATGAAAGTGTCTGAGCAAGAATCAGACTTGAGTAGGGTTCTAATCCCTTTAGATCGTGAGTGCAGGGACTGGCCAGCTGGGGCTGTAGAATCAAAAGTCCAACAAATGATTCATGACAATTCCCACCCAGGTGATGTGATTATCTATACAGATGGCTGTGTTGAGAGGTAGACGAAGTGCATGGGGTTTCATTGCAAAAACAAAGCTAATGGACATCGCTTACTGCACCAAAGCATGGCATAAGATATCACGTCTAGTCTGAGAATGGAGGCGGAGGCAGTCATTGATGCTTTCCGGTGGATTGAGAATCAGCTGTACACACAGGTTGTAATTGTAACTGACTCACAGAGTATGTTGAGAAAGGTGGAGACAGGCATGCTCCATGCAGAGTGGCAAGAATCAATTCAGAGGTCCCGGATAGTCAGCGTCCTTTGGATATGTTCTCTTGGTCGGGATGTGTGCATTGGGAAATGAGAATGCAGACAGACTAGCCAGTTCTGCATGAATGACAAGCTAGATGTTGTGAGGGCCCTTTGGGAGCGAGTGAACAGTGCCGAGGCACAAACAGATGATCACCATCTGATGAGAAATGCGCTTCAAGGAGTTACTAGAGGATCTGGCCAATGCTCAGAACTCATGTGAAAGGTGAGACAAATGTACAATCAGTTACTGGTACTATCAGAATTGGAACTCTTCGCTTGCTACTAAAGACAGGGTTGGTGAGTTTATGGGAGTGTTTTGAGTGCTATGATGTTGATTCTTAATTCAACATTTGCTCTCTGTATGTAATTCAGAATTTGTTTTGTGCTGACTTTTTCTCTTATGACCTCACTCCACAGAATTATCTCTACCACTCACCCCTGCGGTCCTTCTCAGACATCTCATTTCTATTGTTACTAATTTTCTTTTCTGGCTTGTTCTCAGTGACCACATAGCAGAGGGTTGGATTGTGGGAATGAATATGCTGTGAATGACATGTTTCTCTGTACTGAGTGGGATTGTCTGATACTGTAATTCTGTAAATTTTGTTCCCAGATACTTAAACTCAAATGCTTGTTTAATGCCTTTGCACGCTACTGCTATATTAAAAATCTGCTTCTTTCTTTCTACTGACATTACTTCTCTTCAGTGTTGATTCTCTTATCATTTTTTTTGTATTCTTCATTCATCACTGTGAGATGTAGCAATTTCATGGCTTTCACGTCCTGGTCATCAGAAAAAAGTAAATTATGGATGTTTCTAATATTTTTGTTCACAGGCTTACCATCCTTGCATATACTGTTAATGTAGGTGATAAACATCTGTGGTGGTAAGTAGGGCTGTACCGAATATTCGCTTCGTATTCGCTTTGGGGCTGAATAGTGGACCTAATAGCTATTCGGTATTCGGCAGAATAGTGGCGGTCGGGCCGAATACGAATAGTGATTTCTGCATACACTGCGATGGACTGAAATAACTCTCTCATTAATAATGTCACAATTTATAGCCGACTTTTCTTGATTTTCGCCGCGGCACCCCTGGCATACGCACCTAGTTTTAGAACCTCTGCTGTAATGCCTCAGAGGAGTCAGTAGGCGCTGTTACCATGCAACCGGGTTGCAGTTTTTCCCGCTATGACAGATTTAGGCAACGTTACTGTTGTTTTAAAGAAGGCATGAAGAAACTTGAAAGTTAAAATGTAAATTGTCTTTCCTCGCCACTGTCGAAAAAGTTTTTTTTTCCCCCACGTTTCACACTGAAAATGTATCATACTGCATAAAATGCCAGCCGCAGCTTGCTAAAAATTAGCTTTGTATTTATCCCGACATGCGACCAATCCTCCATCTGTATTCGTGAAGGTGCAGCAGATAAGTAAGGCTGTGACTACATTTTTGCTCAAATTTTGAAGTGGAAAATGTGGTCTGAACAATATTAACTGTTAGCCTCGTCAAGTAAGCACATATCTTTAAAGGCAATGCATTCTTTTTTGTTGCCTTTGTGCGTGTGTATCTGTGTGTGTGTGTGAAAGAGAGAGAGAGAAAGAGAGAGAGAGAGCATGCATTTTTTCGTTCTTTCGGGGTGTCTTTGCCCAAATCAAATTAAAGATATTGCGAACGAGAATATGAAGGTGCATTTAAATTAAATCGAACGAACGCCTAAACGAACGATGATTTAAATGCTAATTTGGCACATGGATAAAATCAGATGAAAGATGCATTACTAAAATAAAAAACAAAATAGGACAGGCAAAAACTGCATTTAAAAAAAAAAAAAAAAGAACATCTTATGCAATATATCTTTGTCTTGCTTGCTACATACATCTAGTTTTAACATATGGCTATGAGTCCTGGACAATCGGTAGCCAGGCCAAACAATTTTTTGAGACCTCAGAGATGTGGTTTTACAGAACAATGCTTAAAATATCCTGGATAGCCTAAAAAAAAGCAACCACTAGGTTTTGAAAGAGGCGGGAGCCCGAAGACAACTAATCACAGACATCAGAAGGAGACAGTCATCATTTTTCGGCCACCTAATAAGAAAAGTGAAAATGGAACATGTGGTGACCACTGGAAAGATTTGTAAAAGGAGAGAGAGAAAAAGACAACGAGAGAAGATTCTTGACAGTCTTGTTGCATGGCATGGAGGTGTGTCAGCACACGAACTGATACATGCTGCAGGAGATCGCAGATTGTGGCGAGGCAAAATCGCCAACACCAGTCAGCAAGGCACCTGATGATGATGATACACTATTCATATTCGGCCGAATAGTTGGTCCCACTATTCGTATCACTGAAATCATATCATTGAAAATCACTATTCGGTACAGCCCTAGTGGTAAGACACTTCCCTGCCTTACTCCAGATGTTACTGTGAATGGTTTAGATTTTCCAGGACTTATTCTAACTATGCTTCTACAGTCCTTATATACACTTTTACAGTCTCCAATGAGAGTTGGCTCACACATCCACTCTGTAGAATGCCTTCCCTTGGCAACGAATGTCCCAAAAAAGTTATCATAGTATTCAATGATCTTTTCTATTAACTGTTTAAGTGTAAAGACTGCACTTGTGCAGCTTCTATTTATCCTAAAAAATCACATCTATTCTTCTGCCCACTGTGGTTCCATCACTTGTCACAGTTTTGTTTCTATTAACCTAGTGTGTTTACATATGCCTGTGAAATGTCAACTTTAACAGCTGAACTCGAAAAGATACAAGCATTAGAATGAGATCTTTCAGAAAAATACTTGGCATATCATGCCATGTATATTATCCAGCACACTAGCAACTGGGAGTCGCCATGGTATAGCAGCTAGACGCTCACCTGCAGGTCCAAAGGTCGTGGGTTCAAGTCATGACAAAGCCAGTCACTGAAGATGTCCAGTTTAAATTGAGGACTAGGCATAGCAGAATGTTTAACTTTAAAGTTATTTTTGCTTCCGACAGCACTTTGCTAATGCAGTTTCCACAATAATTTGTTCCCACTGCGAAACCTAACAAAGACCACTAAAAGATGTGTGGCTACAGAATTACCACGATGCAGAATACTGTAGGTTTATGTTTAGGTTTGAACAACGGATCAACATCATGAGACAAGGGTAGTAACCCAAAAGTGCTCCGTTCTACTTTTAACTCAAGCCTGAGTTAACAAAGTAGTTAAAGAATTTAACAAATGCGTACTAAAGGCAGCAAGAGAATCAATACCAAGAGGTGCCTGTAAGCATTATAAGCCTTACTGGAATACTGAACTAGAAAATTTACAAAACGAAGTGGAAACATCCAGACAGAGAAAGCAGAGACCTGGCCAAACGAAAAAAAACATCAGAATAACTATCAGCATGCAAAAGAAAAATGTGTAAGGGCAAAGCTACATACTAGAAGGAAAAGCTGACAGGAGAAAACAAGGTCGCTGAACTTTGAAAAAGACAAAAGAAAGTTATGGAAGCTTGTAAAAGGAGGTTAATGATAAGAATACAGGGTGGAACTCAAAGATCATGCTGCAGAAAGATGAAAAAATGGTCACAGGAAAAGAGGCAGCCAACCTCTTTGCAGATACTTTTGCTTTAGATAACAACAATGAAATCAGTTCAGAGAAAAAAAAACAAGAGATTCAAGAATAGACACAATTCAGAAGTCAGAAAGAAATAACATCAGAGGCGCTAGAAAAGCCAATTACACTTAATGAACTGGAGTTGGCCATTTCAAAGCTGAAAATGTGAAAGTCACCAGGAGCAGATGGCATAACTAACGAAATATCAAAAATTTAGGAACAATAGCCAAAACAAAACTTGTAGATATTTAATGCTTGATGGGCAACAGGAAATGTTCCACAGATATGGAGAGAGGCAATTATGATACCCATTATAAAACCTGGGAAAGACAGTTCCAATGCCTCCAACTACAGACCAATCAGCCTCTGCAAAACAATGGAGCGCATCACCAACCTCAGACTAGTGGTGCATTGAAAGTGAAAACATCATTACAACACAGCAGGCGGGCTTTAGAAAGTTCTACTCTACGGAAGACCAGACAACATACCTCTCCCAAGAAATATAGAATGCTTTTCAAAATAAGAAACTGGTACTCACGGCATGGATAGATTCAAGGAAAGCTTTTAACAAGGTTTGGAAGGAGGGGCTTTTGAAGAAATTGAGAAACTATAAAGTAAATGAAAGAATGTACAATGGGATTATAGCATATCTACATAACAGAAGAGCCCAGGGGTAGATGGTTTCAAAAGTAACAAAGTTCTATTGTGACAAGGCATTCCTCAAGGTGGTGTTCCTGTCACCCATCAACGACCTGGTTGCTGAAATACCAAATGGAATCAAAATGGCAGTGTATGCCGACGACCTGGTACTGTGGTGCACCAGTGAACATGCAACGATAGCCACAAGAACACTACAGCAGGCTACATATGCACTTGAGGCATGGGCGAATAGATGGTGTGTCAGCATTAACACAGAAAAATGTAGCACCACATACTTCACCCTCTCTCCAAAGCAAAACGGGTATCATCAAAATAAATGGAATACCCCTAAGAGATGATAGAGCCCACATACCTCAGTCACATTTGATGATAGGTTGACATGGAGAAAACAAATCAACAAGGCAGCAACCAAAGCCAGGAGGAAGACAGCCATACTTAGAAAACTAAATGGAACCAAATGGGGAGCCAGTGAGAAAATACTCAATAAAGTATATAAGCAGAGCATACAACCACATTTGGAATGTGGGTCAACTGCATGGTCTTCAGCATCTAGTACCACATTAAAGGAGTTGGACAAAATGCAAAATCAAGCACTCAGAGTCATCACAGGAGGGAAGAAATCAACCCCCATATTAGAAATGGAGAAAGCTAGGAAAACACAGGCACTGAGAGAACGCAGAGATACAAAGTTGCAAACACAAGCTGAAAAGTTCCTCAGTATGCCAGATCACCCTATGAAAAATAGATTTTAGAACCTAGCCTTGGGACGGTTAAAAAGAAGCAGCTTTAATTTATACACCAAGCAAAAATAATATGTAGACAAACTACTGACCTTCCAGAAATTGGTTGTCACCTTTAAAGTATCCCAGAACAAACCCCATGGAGAGAAAAAAATGCAAACTAACAGTACAAATCCAGACAAATGTGAAAGGAATATTTGACAAGAAAGAGCAAGATAGTGTACAACGCAGAATGGCCATCCTCAGTTATATTAATAAAGAATACCCACAAGAACAATAGGTCTGAGCCTATACAGATGGGTCCGCACAAAGTGCAGTTAGAAATGGTGGTGCTGGAGGGTACAAAGAATTCCCACATGGTACTAGGGATAAATCGCGTAGCGGCGTGGGAGATACTCTCGGCGGTGGCGGCAGTAGCCGGAAGTGCCCAATTTAAGTCGGCGGAAGTCCGCAATTTACATGTGACTAAGGCCTTGTTAACGTATTTTTGTGGCCGCCATAATATGTGGCCATTATTTGGAGGATAGCTTAATTTTGTTTTATGTTTGCTTTTGTTGTCACGAACGTAGTGATATATCATATATCGTGTTGCTAAAATATATGTCCTGCAACACACAAGTTGAAAAACTCATTTTCTGAAAACGAAGGTGCTGAAAAAGTATTTTCGTCTATTCTCCTATTTACTTGTATAACTTAGCTTAAAAATCAATATATCATATATTATATGGGCTTAGAAGTGACGTAGTTTGAGTAAGGTATCACTTGTTAGCTTAATTTTTCAAGCGGATTCCCACTATGATGGCTATGCTTATATGCTAAGTTATTCATTTATTAAATTTTATTTTATTTTAAAATAATTAAGAAAATTAGACTGAACTATTACTACTAACATAGCACTTACTAGACTAGTACTAGTAGTTAGTAGTCTAAAGTAGTAGTAGTTAAGTAGTAGTAGTAGTAGTCACAGTGAGACTGAGACTATGGTCAGAGAAAAAGGAAGAAACAAGTACATAAATAATTGTACAATCAATCCATATACGCATACCCTGGCATAAAAATAGGCATAGGAGGAAGACCAGATTTTTTTTTCATCAATTCCTTTTCCATTATATTTCACTAACGTCTCTTCCTTCGTTTCTTTGAATGCTAACTGACCCACGAAAGAATTTCCTTCGTCTGTAAAACAAGTACGGGGGAGTAGTTTCCCTTAGTAGATTTACAAAACATGGAAAAAATCCATTTTCAGACCTCTATGTCCCCATTATGGGGAAAACAAGAATAGACCCACTGCCTTCATAACAAGCATGTCATACGGAGTGCACTGCGATTCTTCGGACTCAAGATTGAGCACTTATGGGTTACTTGTGCCATACAATTAAAGAATTATATTCAGGCAGTTTTATCGTCAGCAGAAAAGGATGCCATTCCTGTGAACCAGGGCCGGTTTCCAGCTTTCGAGAGAAGGCATTGCAGTACAAACGAGTCAAGTGGTGTGTAGTCCACAGAAGAGCCGAAAACAAGAATAGACCCACTGCCTATCTACTACTACTGACTACTACTACTATCTAACAAGCATGTCATGAAAGTCGACTAATTAGCTGAGTTGAGTTTAGGTGAGATTTCAGAAAAGACGTCACAGCACTCTGGACATTCCCTGCTGCACTGTACCATACAATTTAACATTTATTTCTTGGGAGCTTTATCATTAGCAGGAATGGATGTCATTGCGGTAAACAAAGAGTCAAGTGGTGTATGATGGACTGAAGAAAACAGAGGCACAGAAAAACAAGAATAAATACATTGCCTGCCTAACAAGCATGTCGTAAGACAAATTTCTTCCCCGTGTGGGTTCCGGGGCCCCTGTTATAGTGAAAACAAGAATAGACCCACTGCCTACCCAAAAGCATTTCGTAAGAGTCGACTAATTGGGAGCTTCCTGCAAAGTCAGAGTGCATCTCCCTGAGAGGTATGGAACTAGCAGTCTGCATACAAATGAGTCAGATCTGTAAAACGGATGCACACACAATACTCGGGTTCTGGAACAGGACTGCAGTCCGAAAGTGGGTGAACTTTCCGCCAGAGTTGACAGCTGGTGAACACCAAGAAATAGAAGATAAAGACCATTTTCCAGATAGTTGAGCGCCTTTTTACAAAGCGAAAAAAATTGGGTGGGACGGTTGTTTCCTACAACAGTGGGTATTTAATGGCATATGTCGTGACACAGAGTAATTCATGTTCTGTGTTCCAAACAGAACAGCAGAGACGCTTCTGCCGTTTATCAGCACATACACACCAACAAACACGCATTCGGCCTGGCACAACAGTAGCATCCTGGCCTGCCTACAACGGGACTGAAAATATTTCATGATTTACGTACCATACAGTCAACAACACCCAGAACTCTGTCGACCCCACCACAGATGCGCATACTTAATGCACCGATCGCACGTGGAGAAAGGCAAAGGAGAGAAAACAGATGTACAATGGCATCTCCTAGAGTCCTACATGTGTGATCTGATGCGGCATCATCATCAGCAATTTGCACATCTGCCGTTAAGCGTTGTGGGGAGGAACAGTTTGCGATTGATGAGCAGCAATTGCTATTGCCATTTTATGTCGATGTAAAAGCTCTTCATTCGTACTTGAAGCACTCCAGTCTAGGAAACTATCAGAATTGCAAACACTGCTGACACAACTCAGCCTTCAGCGAAGAGTTGTAATGCAATGGATACCGTGGAATGGCTGGAAATGAGAAAGCTGATCATTCGTGTCTATTAGTGCTTCCTCCAATGCCTCACCCTGTTTATTGACCGTCGTATCGCCCCATAGCCGACCTTTGGCGTTGGAGTCACCCATTCATGATGATGACGGTGGTTATCTACTCGCACATGTCACTTAAAAATTATCCACTTTTTTGTTGCTGTCAACTTTATCATTGCAGGCACAGATGTTGACTAGCGTAAAAGGTTTACTTCCGTCTATCTTCACAGCCTGCATCTGAATTTTGCTGTTGTTCCATCTGTTACCTTTCTTTTTCCAAATTGGTATTATTATTGGCTGCTACGAGTCAAGCGGGAATTTCCTTTCTTTCCACGCTGTATTAAAAATTCGGTACTTTAATTTTATACAACCTCAACACTCGGCTTCAAGATTCTATAAGGAATACCTTGGGATCCCTTATAGGGGCCGGGAAGGGGTGGGGCGGGTGTTCGGGTTACGGCTATTTTAAATGAAAAGCGACTATTACTAAGCCTAAGCCTAATTCCTCTATACTATGGAACATTCTGGGGATTTCCTTACCAAATCTCGAAGCCGACGAGATATAGTCATATACAGCTAAAATACTGAAAAATTCTTGTTAGCCATTTGATGCCAGTTTGACAACATGCTAGAATAGCTTCTGTAGTTATTCCGTTCAAACCAGGTGCTTTGTTTTTTTAGGGCTCTTCTGCATAACAGTTTTTACTTCTGATGTTAAAAAGTTTGAATCATATTGGTAAGTTCTTTTATGCACTAAAACTGACGTTATCTATCATCGTTTTCAGGACTGAGTAGCTCTTCAAAGTATTCTGCCCATTTTGCTAGCCTTTGTTTTGGATTAAATAAGAACTGTCTCTGCTTATAGTGGTGGTTGGGTTGGTCACCTCATGCTCTCATATTTTTAACTTGTTTGTAGAATTCTTCTACTAAGTGTGTCCATTTTGTTATCTCTTCTATGTATAACACAACCTTTTTCGCGTTTTGATTTAATCCATGTTTGTATGCTGCCTTCTTTTTAGAAATGGTATTTTTTACATCGTTATTCCACAGTGCAGTCCCTTATTGTTTGTCTTGTCCTACTTTTTTAGTTTCGCATTTGTTTTTAAGAGTGCTGAGTATGGCAGATATGAAGTTTGTACATTCGTTCTGTACATCTAAATACTCGGCAGGAAGGTTACTAAACAGCTTTTTGATGTCTTCTTTAAACTGGCTTACAATGTTATCATGTAAATTCTTCACACTGAGGACATCTGTTTTTAATTTCTTGCATCTTGTTTTCTACTGGTCTGTTTTCATTATTACTATCACTGGTCTATGATCCATACCAATGATTGTGTTTGACTGTGCCCTTGAGTCCAGTATTTGTATTCTGTCATCCTTATTAGAATAAAATCAATCTGAGATGCCTGGTCTGTGTTATTCCATCTATGCCAAGTTTTAATGTGACTACGCCTATGTTGCACACACACAAATATTTGCTATTATGAGTCAATGTTCGGAATATTCGTTGTGTAGGGATTCAACAATACTATTACATTCCGTGTTCACATCGCTGAATGGTCCTATGCGGTCTTGACATGGTGTTCTTCTTTTACCTACTCTGTCGTTGAAATGACCCATCACTATCAGTTCCTCTTTCTCTTTCACCCTGCTCAATATGCCTGCAAATTGATTGAAGTATTCGTGGACTGACTGACGTTTAACCCAAAACTGACTGTCCCAAAAGGACATCACACCGAGCGATAAACACCCGCTGACACAAAGTGCCACCATTCATATGATAACCACGCGGTTACAGGTCCAAGAAACCTCATTTAATCCATATGGTTATGATTAGGGCCGCCGACCACAGCCAGGTTGGGGCTTCATAATAACGTAAAGCTGCGTCCCGCATGTGGACGGATCTAACTATTGAAACGTACCAACCCCGTGAAATCAGTGAACAAATCCCCCACCCCCACCAGTCCCTCGAACTCATGTGGCGCTAAGAACCATGCTCTGTTCCGCGAGGAAAGTCGGAACTACATGTTATTGAGCCGACAGGGAGAGAGAGAGTTAAGAGGCCCTTTTTTTTTGCCGCCCCGTCTTTTTTATACTCACGAACCTGATATATTTGTTTTTTGAAGTGAAAAAATCCTTTGGTTTCATTTGAACTTTTGTAGCAACTAGGGAATGATCAGCATAACAGGCAGCCGTGAGGTAGCTGTGAGTAAGTGATACACAGTTCAAGTGCTGCCTCCTTGTGAGAATAACGTCCAGCTGGTGCCAGTGGCCAGTTATTTGATGTTTCCATGACACCTTATGTCGGTCTTTAGTTTTGAGAAAGGAGTTCGCGATGAACAAGTCATTTCTAATGCAAAATTTCAGTAATCTTTGCCCACGTTCATTCGTGTGGCCAACACTGAATTTTCCAAGACAAACTGGCCATCAGTTTGAGTCTGACCCCAAGCGAGCATTAAAATCACCAAGTATATAGAGGCAGTCAGATTTAGGAATTGTTTTCACTGCATTATCCAGTCCCTCATAAAAATAATTCTTTGCGTCCTCTGTTAACGTTAGAGTGGGCGCATATGCAGTAAAAAGGGTGATAAAACCGCTTGAGCTAGAAAATCGTGGAGATAATATTCTGTCATTTCCTCCAGTTGGACTCTCAAATGATCCCATCAGTGAATTCTTTACTGCAAAGCTCACTCAATACATTCGGATTTCTTCCTGGCCTCTGCCTTTCCAGAACAATGTATAAATATCGTCTCTAATAGGCCCATTCTCTAGCAGACGGGTTTCCTGTAGGGCAGCAATATCTATGTCTAGTTTGTTGAGTTCGGCATCAATGATAGCCGTTTTTTCCCCCTCACATGAGTATTGTTTTTCTAGGTCAGCGAACGGCCTTCTCTTTTTATATACAGACGGACCTGGTCAGTGGAAAACCTGCGACACATCGTCCTCACGTTCCAAGCACCAAGTCAAAGCTAGATGTGCCTGGTGCATTGGTTTTCACAGCCTGCAGTTAGGATTGCACCAGTGGAAGCATACACGCTCTGGTGGATCACACATTATTGGCTGTGGCTGCCCAGCCTACGACGGGCGGTAGTTGATAAGCGATATTCGAAGATGTCTCCCAACGTCAGAGGCAACACGCGGCGCTCCCATCTACGCCAATTTGACAAGCACATATAACGCGTAACTGCCGCCTCTCGATTGGTTTCCGAGACCTATTACGGCAAGGGATAAAGTCCATCCTCTCTATAGCTCAAAACCTGGGCAGTATTGTAGAGACCATATTTTGCGACACTAGGACCTAAATGAAGCAGGCTAAGGTAAACAGTTCTTACTAATTTTCGGAAGTTCAAAATATTTTTGATAAATGGATACATTTGGCTAAAGTTAGAGGCAATGATAAACTTCGGTTAGATCTCTAATTAGGAAACAAAATGCTATGTTTCACTACCAAAGTCAATGTCAACATTGTTGCGAGAGCACAAACCAATATCTTTCAAAGATTTGGAAGAACTGGGTGACAATTGCTTCTTTGCCCATCGTGAGGTTTTCATATCAATTTCAGTACCAGATATTCAGATAGAAGCAAGTGAGTGTGATAAAAAGTCCAAATTCAACTCAGTCACAACCCCGTACAAAAAGAAAACCACTTTTAATAATAAATGGCTACTAGTTTGTTGTGCATATTGTAAGACACACAATTCAAATGACAAATTGTGTGATAGAAATTTAGGTAATGCAGAGTTCATGCAAAAACTTAATCATAGGAAAAGTCAGATATCAAGACAATATAGTGATGCCGTCAATGTTTTTCCTGTGGCTGTTATAATGAGGTTGAAGCACAGATTTTTTTTTAAAATGAAAGAGGCTAATGGGGTGTATGAGATCACTGACTATGAGTCAGAAAGTGAACATGTGGATGCTGAATAGTGACATGCGAAAACAATTAAAGTTGTCTCACTTGCCATCTGTTTCATGAGAAAGACACCCTGACTTGTGACCATAACCTAAATGTACAGGAAGCAAATGCGGCCATGGGCTTTAACGAAATACTAAAGTTATTTTGGGGCATTGCCAACGGTAAGACAGTTTCAGTCTTAAGAGACTCTGGGTCAAACATTTCTGGCGTCCATAAGGACTTAATACGACCTAAAGACATCACTAATAAATATAATAATTGTAAACTACTGGGTAGGTGGGGGGGGGGGGGGGGGGGGGGGGGGGGGGGGGGGGGGGTGGGGGGGGGGGGGGGGGGGGGGGGGGGGGGGGGGGGGGGGGGGGGGGGGGGGGGGATATAAAATTTTCAAATTGTATTTGTCAATGTTAAAACTACTTTTCTTGAAATAAGAAAACAGTTTGCAATACTCCTAGCAGCGTGGGCTGGATTAATCTTAGATAATAGAATAGACACCAGAGATGTGTCTAAAAAAGATACTGAGCAGTGGAGAAAAGCATACACGATTGATTGTAAGAAAAGCGGTATAAGGAATGTCAACGACCAAGATTTTTGGCGGAGAGCAAACGCAGTAGTAAAAAAAACCTAGTGAAAGAGAAACGAATGAAAATTACATTAAAAGTCCCAAGGAGATTAGTTGAGTCAAGAGTTGACATCACATTCCACGCGTGCTCCGTTCTCATCTCCAGCAGCCAGCGCAGAGTTCCAGTACTGATGGTACCGGTCACAATCTGGTTAAATGTCCGTCTTGCCTTTCCTCTGAGTGTAGTCAGCCGGCCAGACCCTCTGGTTACAGCCAGGTGCCTCATTCTCTCCAGGCCATAATAATATTCTTTCTCTTCTGATTCCGTTGCTTGTTCACACATAACCTTGACCACATCTGCCTTGTCATGTATCAATTCACCACCCAGTGATGCAGATCCAGACAATTTATTTGCTTGTTCATTACCTACTACGCCGGTATGGCCTAGAGAAAAGATCCAAAGTATGCTAACTACCCGTGACATTCACACCGTAAAAACATTGAATAGTAGAGGTGAAATTGCAGATCCCTGTGGTAGTCCTAAACAAGTCGTCCACCCTCCACATGCATCATGCTGTTGTGTAGGGAGGGGTCTACTGAATCAATTCCTGGTGGTAGCTACTGCTGTTAGAAACCAGTCTACTGCCAGTAAAAATAGAGGCGACTAAACACATTCCCTACGCACATCTGCTCTTATTTCAAACGAATCTTTAGTTTTCGTTCATGAAGACAGTTACATTTAATGTTGCATTTACTAAGTTAATATTTTCGTGTGCAATCATATTGTGCCTCTCAATTTTCAGAAAAACTATCAATGCTGTCAGTTAATATCAGATAATATAAAATGCAATCAATTTAATCTCGAGGAATAACCATGACCTGCAGGCCTTGATGCAAAAAACTGATGATAGCAGACAGTTGTTTGGGTTTGTTCATTGTATCCTTTCCTGATTATTATGTCCCAATTCGGTTCTTGTTACTATCCTTTTTTTAAAATGCAATCTTCCTGTTAAGCCAAAAACTGTTTCAAACGTTTTACTTATCTAATTGGGTAGCCCTCCCCAACGCCCTTTTCCAGAACGCACGTTGCTGACATTTCAGGTCTCACTGATTTGCGTGTATTGCAGGTGCTTTATCGACTATCATTCTTACCCTACCGTAAAGTTTTTACTTCACACAGGGCTCACAGCCTATTCTCCAAACTGTCTGTTCTCTTCAACACAATCACTTCTATATTGTGGACAGAGTCTAGTCCAGCACTTTTGGCCGCTCCTCCCTAGTTAGTCATATTTTTTTTTTAGAATACTAATATCTGTAGCTGTGCCACGTAAGCAGCTAATATAACAATTTAAAATAATATTAAGTATATTAAGATCCCTGAAACACAAATAACACATTATAACCTGCTCTTATCTCATGATATATTTATTTTGTCTTGACAATTTACTACCAGCTAAAACACAATGCTAAACGTTTAATATTTCAAATAAATGCGTGTTAAGATGAAACCCTGTATTAAAAGCAACACAGTATATAATTCTGACTAATACTGTGAGCAAGAGGGTTAAAGCAATATACAAATACGATGGGAATACAGGCGTGTGTCCAAAAGGAAAAACCCAAAGACCTCGATGGCCTGCGTCTCTTAAATGATGAGACAACCATGATGACAAAAACATTACAGAAAACATCTTAAGTGCTGGAATGTACTGTCTCATAATCAAACACAATGCCACAACAGCAAGGATCAGGCTGGTGTTGTGAAAGCATGGCCTCTTTGTTAAATTTAAGGCTTTCTGAAATGTCAAACAGAACTAGATTATTACATAATATAGCATTTATTTTTCTGACAATACACAGTAGCAGCACCATTTTAGACATTTATTTTTCCTGTGCTATTCTAATAGACACTGTGTCACAAGTGCCGGCACCTTCTTTAGACACATGGTGATGAACACTGACAACATTTTTCTAGGGGAAAAAACTCAGGATACTTCCTTTAGGTTAGAATCCCCTAAAAAACTGCGTTTTTAACTATCATATTCGATGAAACTCAGGCTGTCAGAGCCCAAGAAACAGTGTAAATATGTTTGATTGTCGTTAATATAGAGAGAAAATCTACGTTAGGATAAAATTACGACCAACCAAGGCAACCCTCTGTCAACAAAGACCCATCTTCAACAGTTGTATCTATTAAAACTTTTCAAGTCCCAGTTGTTTCATGAGAAATCAGCTTGGTAATAATGTTTGGATGATCCAAAACGATTGTCAATGGCAAGACAGTTTCAGTCTTAAGAGATACCGAGGCCACCATTTCTGGCCTCCATAAGGACTTGGTATGACCTAAAGACACTTACATTACGAATAAACATATTAATTATAGAACCTTTGGTGGTAAAACTGAAAAATTTGAAGCTGCATTTGTCATTATTAGAAGTACTTCTCCTGAAAAGAGAATACAGGTTGCAGTACTGCCAGCACCATGTGCTGGATTAATCTTGGGTAACAGAACAGTTCCTATAGATGTTTCACAAGAAGATATTGTGCAGAGGGGAAAAGCAAACATCACTGAATGTAAGGAAAGTGGGATGAGGAATGTCAACAAGAAAGAATTATGTAAGAAATAAAATGCAGCTGCAGAAATATCAAGTGATCAAGAAATGAATGAAAATCAAAATGAAAGTATCAAAGAGATTAGGCATCCAGCAAATGATGTGTGTGTGAAATATAGACTGATAACATGAAAAGAGTGTACAGGAGATGAATGACAGCAAACATCTAATCAAAACATGACATCAATAAAACTGAGAGAGAATGATATGGCTATGACAACTGAAAAAGATCTTGTTACTTTCATCAGCATTAGTGGTAAATGAAACAAGAGTAAATGAATAAAATGGAATGTGTCAACAACCTTCAATGCAGGCATTAAAAGTAATTACAGATCCAATGTTATACTCTACAACTTCTGCAGAAAACAGAAGCATGAAAAACACCATGCAACAAAAGCCAAACCAAAGCAATTTAAACAATGAACTGATACCCATTCCATTGGAATCCAGTGAGAGTCAAAAATACATTTCAGAATGCACAGATCAGTGATCTATTATTAAGAAAATGTCTTAAATCAGACCATAAGGAAAAATTATAAAACAGACACCACCTTAAAAATTTATTTTAAAGAAGTGACATAAGGTAATACATAGGCAGAAATCACACAAAAGATGCCAACAAATTTTCAAACCAGATTAGAATACAACTTCGAAGTTACATTTGCTACTGATACTATGTCATTGATTCCATTTGTTGTCTTTTCATTAATGATTTCTGTGGGGTTGTAGCTCTCATCTCTACTACGCATACTTGTGATTACTTTGAATAATGTTCTGCAGACGGTTTTCTCATTTTATGATAATGAATCCTCGTAACATTCCCCGATTCTTGTTTTGCCATCTTGATCTTCCAGGTGGTTTCTCTCCGCTGCAGTCTATAATTTATATAATCTTTCTTTGATTGTATCAATTTTTCAGTGTCTTTTTTCTTCTTAACTGCATCTTTTACTTTCACCACCAAGGTGAATATTTGTTATTGATACACTACAGGTGATAATTGTTTGAATGCTGTCTCTACTTTTTGTTGTAACTTTTATTTAGCTTCTTCTCATTTCAGATTTGCTATTTTGACGGGATCTTGGTTTCTGAACTAAGTTATCACAAGAAAGAAAACAACAAAAGATAAAAACAAGACATGCTAAAACTGCATTTTGTAAAACAAAAACATATTATGCAATATCCTTGCTTTTAAACATTAGAAAAATAATGCTTACATTTTACATAGAACCAGTGACAAATACTGTGAATTTTATGAAAGGACAAACAAGCAAGAAAAACTCTTGATGTTAGATATGTGGTTTTACAGAAGAATGCAAAAAAATACCTTGAACGGCTAAAATTTATAATTTGTTTTGAAAGAAGCTAAGGAAGTACTGATAACTTCTTTTGGCATAATATGAAAAGGGAAGAACTGGAAATTAATGTAATATTTGAAAGAATTGAGACAAATGAGCCAAAAGTAGCCATCAAGAACAGATTTTTGACAACTTTATATTATTGCAGGAAATGACAGTAGTGCTAAATACAACGTAAAATGCAACTAGACAGCTTGATGGAAGGAATAGAAAAAACATGCACAAATACCACATAATATTTTGATCAAGGTCTTTTTCAGTGCAGTACTAAATACAATACAAACCGTGACTGCAGAACTCAACTGACAAGACAAGAAAGCTTATAAAAAACAACAGTCAACTTGAAACCATGAAGTACGTACATGAAAGTATTGACTGCAGAACCTAAGGGACAAGAGAGCTTCTAAAAAAAATGACAGTCAATGTGAAACCATAAAAAACACTAGAAATTATAGTATATGAAAAGATACACAACATTAATCTCTCTCATTCTCATACACATGATGAAAACAGACTACACATATTTTAATTAATATGAACTGGTTTAAACAGACATTTATTTACACTTACCCTAAAATCTAAAGATCCAGCTGCTAAAAAATGATCAGTATCCACTGCAACAGCTAAGACTGCACAGCATGCACAGTTTTGCCATTTTCTAAAATCATTTAGGTGTTCAAAGTTTTCTACCACAGCCCAAACTAGAACACTGACTATGGCATGTATTGAGCTATCAATAACAGATCGGACTATATGACCATTTCCCAACCAGTCTGTGTCTGACACTAACAACAGCAAGTAATCCCCACAAATGCAAGTTACTACAATTAGTGACCATATACAAAGTATAAGAGTGGGAGATGGGAAGATGATGTTCACTATGTCTTTTATTGGTTCCATTGAGGCCAGAATTCATATCTTAATAAACAGAGGAGGGAAGTTCGTTTATAACATTAATTATTTAACCAGCATCCATGTTGTGTATGGAGAAAAAACCTGAAGACAAAAACAGAAAGAAAACTAATTATATAATGATCAAACAAAGTGTATAAAAATAAAAAAATAAAAATAATGTCAAGTTAAACATAATCAAAATCAGATCAATCATGTAGTTACATTGTTATTAATCCATTGGCTCCGAGAAGCTACAGAACGTGGGCCCAATTACCTAAAATGTAACTTGCCTACAATTACCTGTTTATAAGATGCATAGTTAATGCTACTGGAAGCTGCAGTGGTGTAGCAGCTAGATGCTCACTCACTGATCTTAAGATCGTGGGTTCAAATCCTAATGTGATAGGGTGGAAACGACAAAGACTACTTTTCAGCAGCCTAACGATTTTATTTAATCCAGTTTAAAAATGACCAAGGGGCCACAGGAAGAGCTTTTAGTCTTAGACAGTAAAATGAGTAAACATCTGGCCACTGGGTATAAATACGCAAAACTCATTCAGTATTCTCCTATTTGGCTGTCGCTCTATGGTCAGGCGCCCAGTTTGCCATTGTTGACTGCACTTGGCCTCAACGCACAGGTGTGTCAGATTGGACCGGCTGAGTGATGCTAGAATGGCTCGTGTTCGCGATAATGGTACGTTTCTTTTGGTTAGGTGGTGGTAGATTTGATTTCCTTTGTATATCCTCGCTAGGAGATAGTTTGATGGCAGGTCGCTATGAGTGATTTGTTGGTATATTGAAGCTTACCGTACATGTTAAATATGTTTCGGTTTTTGCCATTGTTGAGGTAATCTCACTGAGTGTATGGTGTCATTACCATAGTTACTTGTTAGCTGGAGATAGACAGTATTTTAGATTCTGGTCGAGCACGTTTGTTGTTAATGTTATTTGTGGACCACAATAATGCTATGTTAAGTAAAATAAACAGCTGTTTAATGTGATTATAATTCATTTGCTTGATTTAATTTAAGATCTGTAGTCCGCGGTTCGTCTAGGTGTGTGTAGCCATGTAGTTAGGTTGTTGTCATGTAACTCACCATACATATATTCAGAGTTTGGGTCTCAGTGAAATATTCTAGGATCTCTGCGCAGAAGAACCTGTGTCTTTTCTTTACTTTCCTGTTTTATTGTTTAGCTGAGAACTATTACATTTTGTCTTAATCACAAATTTCTTCTTTACCCCTTCCCCTCTTCTGGTTTTCCTCCTTCTTTCTTTCTGCTAGCACACTAAGCTAGACTTTTTTTTCTTCTAAAATAACCTTGGCTACCAGATTGACACAGCCTTAAATATGTACAAATTAAGGTCCTGGAAAGTTAGGGTGGTTGGCGTGATGTTGACCACATCACTTATCGAATGCCAACTGGTTTATAAAGTACAGGTCTAACAAAATGAGCCCAATATGCCTATGGAAATGGGTCCTTTACTATTGTTAATGCTTTTAGCTGTTTTTGCTCCTATAATTACATAGAAAGATGCCAGAAAATAAGACGCACAAAGAAAATGCCCAAACTGTGATGGAGCACACAGTGCAAGATACCAGGGTGCCCAGGATACCAAACAAACAAAAACTACCTTGAGAGAATCTATTCTAACTAACAAACCCATCAAAACAGAATTGGGGGGGGGGAGGGGGAAATAACCAATGGATTCAACATTAAAAGAGACAGCAGATGCAGAAGCTAGGTGTCTGATAAACGAAATAAATAATTTAAATACACAGCTGAGCGGGTAAACAGAAAATAATAAGACAATGGGGGAAAAAAACTACCTTATCCAAAAAAAGAGTGGACTAAACTGTTTAAGAAAAGACAGAAGAACAATCAAAACAGTTAGTAAAAGATAAATAAAAAGACAAAAGGAAAAAGCACGGACAAATAGAACCAGATAACAGAGAAATACAGATTTTACAGTGTAGATGCAAGGAATAAAAAAAAAAACATTTGTCAGAAATCTGCGAACAGTATGGAAGTAAGAAAATGATACTGGCACTACACAAGCTTCTCAAACCAAAGGACATATTAACATGGACAGGACACACCGTGTACAGAAATAATAAGACAAAAAGCACACGAGAGGAGTTGTCTCAAGATAGCAGAAAATATTAGAATGTTAAAACATGAACATTTTCAGACAGCAAAATTAAAAGGAACAGTAGCCAAAATCGAAAGCAGTCCATTGAATTTACAAATAGTTCATGTCTATTCATGGCATCAAATTTATAGAAGGTGGATCTTAATGAAATAAAGAGAACAATAGGTCCATCAACTATCATAGTGAGGGCCTTCATTCGCCACCACAAAGTCTAGGGTGGAAACAAAACACACCTATCTGGAATAAATGTAATGAGCTTTGCAGTATCCAACAAGTTAACAATCCTAAACGATGGATCCATCCATTAGGAAAAGTTACAGCAAAAGATCTAACCACAAAATTTGTCAGGCATAAATTAGGAAATAGCTAGACACAACCTCTGACCATTTGCCAATATTACTAGGAACCAGGACCTTACCAGACAAGAATAAAGAAATAAACAAGGCAAGACTTATAAATGAAAAAACAAATTGGGAGGCATTCAGGAGACAGCTAGAAAAGGAAGATGTGGTGCAGAAAGAACATGAGGATATAACATTACAGGTAGCAAAGATTACAAACCAAATATTGAAAATAGCATTAAACCATATTCCTAACAAAAACATGCCAAAAATACTTAAGTAATGAACAGATAACCAGGCAGTCAAAACATCTGTGGAAGGAGTGGAACCACCGATGTACAACCACAACCGAAAAAGAAAACATGCACTTCAAAAATACAGAAAAAATTCAAAAGAGGAAGACCAAAAAAAAAGTATAAAACTTGTAGAAATTTACAAAATAATGTAATTTACAAAGTTAAAACACAACAAGGGAGATGCTTCTGTCAAATACTGGGACCAGAAACACAAGCCATCGAGGTATAGAAAAAGATGAGTGCAATAAAATGGCAACACGAGAAACATTCCATATGAACAATAAACAGCCCAATAAAGCGGAAACCAACAAAGAAATGGCAGAAGCTTTTGTGAAAACTTTTATGATGAGCTATGAGTTAAATTTTCTTCACAGCACTCCGGACAAATCCTTAAGCGCTCAGATTCCCCTCTCAACTTATTCATCAGCGTAGAGCGGTTAATAGTGCCAGTCATATCTTGGTTAACAAGACTTTGTGTGCTTCCAGTGTGCTTCTCATACTTGGCTGTGCCGATCTTTACTCCCAATTCTCGTATTCTTAGCAGTGATGTGGACAAGTTGCTTCCAAAATCCCCAGAACGTCTTATCTCTCTAAGGGCAATGACAATGCAGCATGATCCATGGACCGGCCATCTTCAATTAATGCAGCACCTGCCAGTCTATCAGCTCATTCATTACCAACAATGCCTGCATTCCTTAGGACAGATACGAAGGAGAGTTTTGCAATGACTCGAACCGCTGTCTGCGTAAACAGCCTGCCTCGACCCGCCAGATCTTGCTCAAGGAAACACTCAGCACACACACGCAGGAATAGTTCTGTGATTCTAGCCACATGAAAGCTTGTGTAACCGCCATCACAGGCTGCAGGTAGTCACGGAGAAGGCAAAGCTGACTTCTTGAACTGTTCTGCCTGAAGAGCGAGCTGTAAATGCCCATGCACTCTTATGTCCTCGTATAACGGACATGTCTGTGAAGATCACCATATCAATCTCATCTGACTTGTCACTGACAAACATGTATAAATCAGCACTGACAGCAGCTGGATTCTGCTACCGACAACTTCTATTGAGCGCCACGACACAGGAGAATGTGAGATTGGCCGCTTTAGATGCCGGCATCCATTTGTCACCTAGATGGATGTCTGTAAGGCTGCAAACCTGCATGATGTCATCCTCTGCCATACCCAGCCATGATTTGCCCCTTGTAAGCCTATTTTACAATATCGGTTCACACCAAAACCTAGGGCAGGGCTATCCAAATAAGTTTACTCACGGACATAAATGTTGAAAATAAGGATCGTCACTGGCCATAGGCCCAAGCGTGGAAAGATTATTAACACAACGTTTTCAAGGTGTAACTTTATTACTCTAAAAACTTTTACAACTAGGGCCTAGCATATGGTAATATAAATGAAATAGGGTTGTAATCCATTGTAATGTAAAGTGTGCTATGATCTTTTGTAATAATTTATTAATACTCACTTTTAATTGAAATACATGTATTTCCAACTTGTTGTTGAAATTGTAAATAAACATTAGCACTATCACTTAAATTGTCATTATCATATGAATAGAGGACTTTGGGGGCAGTGAATCCACATCACTCGTCAGAATGGCAGTTTTTGGGAATTAAGATCGGCATAGTAAAAAATGAGACGCACACCAGACAACACCAGAAGACTTGTTAATCAACATAGAAATGGTACCATTAGCCATCGGGGTTCATACTGAGGGGAGGATCTGAGCACCTATGGACATGTCCGGAGTGCAATTATGATAACCCACCTAACTAACTATCATATTAACAATAACTGTCCTTAGTTTGTTTCACATGGTTTTGTGCAGAAAAAACTGAAAGCTATAATGCGACAAAATGTAAATAACGATAAAAGTTGTATTTCCATTTTTGAGTTCATCATCATCATGTAGCAGGTTCTTTGCAGAACGTCGCTCTCACCATGGTCCGTCTGAAAGAAACTTGGTCTCTCGCCAGCTCTCCCGCCCCATGGACTTTCATACTCAAGGAGTCACTTATATCTTGTAACCCATCTTCGTGTTGGTCGGCCCTGCCACTCCTTCCTGGTACCATGCCTTCTGCTTTAATTTTTTTCCAATCTGTTGTGGCGCTTGATATGACCAAAATTGTTGAGTTAATTTTATAAAATATGGCTGGTGTGTAGTAAGAGAAATTCTCATGCAATCCTGCATCCTATTACTGC